TCCAAGTATGTTCCAACTCAACCAAACCCAACCCCAACCCCAACCCCAAACCCAACCCCTTACCCAAACCCAACCCCAACCCCAAACCCAAACCCAGAGAAGAGTCAATAGAACATATAATTAATTTCATAAGACTGATCGTAAAATATTAGTATTGCAAGAGAAAGGAAAAAATTAATGAGCACCGACATAAAGAAGAAGAGTAGGGATGGTTTATTATAGAGTTCAAAGGTGAGGGAGATCTTTCCGAGGTTAGAAGGTAATAAATAAAGACAGATCGATGCTTAGCTTATATAGAAAGACACAATATCGGGCTAAGAATCGGTATCGAGCTAGGAATTTATAAGAAAACAAAGGCTGCAGATAGAGAATTAGAAAATGATGACGGTTCACATCTGGAAGGAGTAATAAAAGATCACAAAGAGATAGTGGAATTTATATATGACATCTTAAATAAAGAGTTCTTTGTATCAAATCACTTGAATAAGTCAAAGTGGTTGTGATTAGAAGATTAACAGATGAGAAATGTAGTGCAGGATTAAAATCTTATCTAATCCAACGGAATAGATGAAGGAATGGTATCCATTCTAATTTTAGCATTAAAAGATAAGGGCATGGCGAAAATATCCTTTGATGACCGAATGATTTGCTCTTTATGCTGCAAGCTCCTCAATCGCATAGAAATATTTAAAAACTCCTGTTATTAAAAGATGAACCTTCTTCTATCAAGGGAAGTTCATACAGACATATTGTTCAATATCATCATTATTATTATGCTCATCTTCAATCTAGTATGTTGAGGGTTCAAGGATGAAAACTAATTTTCAAGGCCTAGAAATCAAGAGAGAGAGTAATTATTGCTTCTCCACCTAAAGTCATTATAGGTTCAAAGGATTCTTTAGGAATGAAATACTAGGGCAAAAATGATCCTTTATATCTATTTAGGACTGATAACCAATAAACAATATTTATGATATAACAATTCTACTGAAAGTGAATTTTAATCATCTGTAGAGAGTCCTCCAAATCTTGAAATCTATTTTAAAGTTTTTAAACTAATTAGTATTTCACCTGCCTTATAAGCATTAGGAATAGATAATTTACTAGATATTATTTAACAAGGTGACAATATTCAAATTTATGTTGCTGATAAATTTGTATAGATGATATTAGCATTAGATTTCTAGATAATTTGAGCAGTTCTGTTTTCTGCCTGATAACTAAATATTTAGGATACATTTTCTTTAAAACCACTTATAAAAAATTGTACAGCTTATAATCTTGGTTATTATGGAAAATGAGCCTAAAAATTGCAAAAGCATTTTTTACCTATTATGAAAAAAATGTATCAAATTTTCTAAAGACTTTACTATAATGGGCTCTTAAGAATTGTAATGTCTAATTTATACGATGTTTCTTTTGCAATTGCTTTATAATTTGCTTATTTTTAGAGTAATAATATATTTGAATCACTAAATTCATATTTTTACCTTATTATTTTTGTATCATATTTAGGAAATTTGATTTATTTTTTTTTCAATTTTTAAAATTTTCTAATTAGACTACATTTTAGTTAACTAATATGAATCTTTATTTGAGGAGTTTAAGATAGCAAATATCCTTGAATTTCTTAATATAATTCAATTTTATTAATTAAGAAACTTATTTTCCTAAATCTATTATATTCATGTATAGATTACACTATTTTAATTTGATTTTTAACAGATGGGAACGTTAAACACTGCTAATTGCTTCAAATTAAACTTTATTTGTTTCATATTATTTTTGAACAATCCTTTATAGAATCATTATGAGTACCATAAAATTATTATTACAGAATCCTTTATCATTTTCAACACAATAAATTTATTCTTTATGAATATTCACAAGATTTTAGATTAAACAAAAACTTTAATGCAAATTTAGGATGGGATCACATATCTACATTTTTTGCTATCTTAATTTTTTCATTAATCATAGATATTATTTGGTAAGGAAAATAAATAATAATCAAACTAAAGTAATTGTTCTGTTTATAAAAGAAATAGGAAGATATAGGATCAGCAGCAACTTTTTTATGAATATTAATTATGTTCAAGTTTATCCATTACATCTATATTTTTCTTTTACACTATCCTCTAAATTCAAATAGTGCCGGTTTTTTTAATTTTATTATTTTCATTCTACATAAATATAGAATTCAACAATTTTCTTTCTCAGCCTATGAAAATATTGTAAAAGAGTATTACGACATAGAATATTAATGATATATTTATATAATTTAATAAAGAAATTTCAATTATTTATTTCTGAAATAATCTGAAGAAATGATGGGTTATGGCAAATAATCACCAGAACATTACACAATTATTCTGGTAGTCGGAGACACTTCAGTCGGTAAAACTAGTCTGATTATTCGATACGTTCATGATATTTTTGAAGAAGCTGATATTCGCAAGAAAACGCTTAATTAGACTAGTTTGTTAAAAAATGATACATTAAAGGAAATATTTATAGAGAATTAATGCATTCATTTATAAATTGTAAAGCAATTAATTATTTTAGCATGACATGTCAGGTCCAGAAAAATACATTTTTATAGATAGAATTTGCAGGTATTAAAATTGATAAGATTAGAAAAGCACAAGGAATATTAATAGTTTATGATATAACAAATAGGGATTCATTTAATAGTATTTCATTATGGATAACTTAAATTGATAGGTAAGAGTAATTGGATAATTTTAGCATTGCTAGTTTGGATGTTATAAGAATATTAATAGGAAATAAATGTGATTAAAATGATAATCGGGCTGTCACTTTTGAAGAAGGCTATTTGTTAGGTAAATAGAAATCTTAGATAAATAGCTTAATAGTTTGGGATCCAATTTTTTGAAACATCTGCCAAGTAATCAATTAGTATTGAAGATTCCTTCCTTTTTGTAGCTAGAGTGATTTTAGAAGAATAATAAAAAAAATTAAATTAATAGAATAATGAAAAGAACTAAAAGTTAAATATAAAATAAAATAAATAAAGTAAAAATACTAAAAGTTGCATCTGATTTACTTAATAAACGTGATACATATCATGATTCCTAGATTTTATTTACTTTTCATAGTATTAATATTCTTTTATAATAGTGAAATAAAAATATAGATATTTATTAAATTAATGAAAATAATTTTATTTATCTTATTTACTTAATGATATGAACATTAAATCAATACAGATCGCATACTAAAGGGAGATGATCACTCCCTTCTTCATAGTTAACTATGGGATTTTCTATTAAATATTCAATTTTAGGCATTTACAATACTTGCGAGACTTACAATTTATTGATCCAAATGTAATCTACACATCCAACCTATGATGAAGACATAGTTGTTATCAAGGGTTCATAAGTGGACCATTTGGCATAGAAATCGTGCAAATCTTTGCTCTTCGCTCTCTATAAATCAGCATAGACACTTCGAAATTGAATTGGTGTTTCTACAATTGGATATGGATTTAATTCAGCTTAATGAAATGAAAATGTATCATTATCAATTTGACATCTCAAAGCTTGGACATATAGATCATAATCATAATCAAGGTCTTATTATTCATATTGTATATTAAATTCACCACATTTCTTCTAAATATTTAGTCTATCCTACATGTAATCAGTAGGATGGTAAGAGATAGAATGCTAGCCGCTAATTCTTTTAGGGTTTAACTTATTAAATTGTTATTGACCTTGGGAAATGTAGGAATATAAAGCACTATTGGGTGTTAGATTGAAATCACCACACCATACAATTCTTGAATTCTAATATTTTAATTGTAAGGATTAAAGTGTGATCATAATTAATTGAATTTGACTCAGCTTCAAATCTCCTCTATTTTTGTTGAATATCAAATGAGAATTAGCTACAATTAGAGGATTTTAGTCATTAAAGCCTTGCAAAACTGCAATAAGACAAATATTTGGTTTATCCATTCTGGTCTTAGAATTACAAAATAGATGTTCTTGTTTTAAGTGAAGGTTGTAGGACTTAATTAATTTGTACTTCTATTTTAAATAAAAGAGAGCACATCCATCCTTTTAATTTTCTTGACTTCTTTTTAAGAAAAGCTTTTCATATTGATCTTGAATCAATAATTAACTCAAATCATTTTCATCACAATCCAATTCTTAAAGACATAGAATATCGGGCTTATACTTCTTTATTTAGGAGAATATTAAAGGCCATCTACTCTTCCAGTCATATTATTTTAATTGCTTTTCGTTATCCTATAACAAAGAATCAGCCAAAATATTGTAAGACATTAATCTAAAGGAATTGTGTTATTTAGATCCTAACCATTTTCTGATTGATGTTATTTGTTGTTGCATTATTTTATTAAATAATTATATATTTGAGACATCTATAGAAATTATATAATAACAATATAAAATAATTTATAAACAAAAAAGGAAATGGAAATGGACAAAGAACCATATGATTACATTTTTAAAATAATTATTATTGGAAATGGTAGTTGTGGGAAAACCAGCATATTGTATCATTATTTGAATGGGAAATGTAAAGAGATGTTATGAAAGAAATTAGAACCAAAGAATGTCGCCTAGACAGTAGGTGTTGAGTTTTCATCCAAGATGATTTCTATTAAAGGGAAATCCATAAAATTGTAGTTATGGGATACAGCAGGTCAAGAGCGATATCGATCTATTGCAAGAACATATTATAGAGGTGCTTTAGGAGCAATTTGCGTTTTTGATGTGACAAATGCAGAATCCTTTTAAAATATGCAGTAATGGATAAAAGATGCAAGAGACTTTGCAAGACCTGATATCTGTATAATGGCATGTGGGAATAAGATAGATTTGATCGTATTTAATTTATTTTAAAAAAGGAATAAAGAAGAACTACAGAAGGTTAGGTTTAGAAATTAGTAAAGGAATATTCAATAGATTCCTACTTTGAAACAAGTGCAGTTACAGGAGAATAAATAGAGAATATGTTCTTGTCATTATCAGGGAAACTAGTTTAAAGGATAGACAATGGATTAATAGAGAAAAACGATTTAAAACCAATTCTATTGGCTACACATTCCTCTAAGGAAGAAGCGAGAGAATAAACTTGTTCTTGTTGACTTAGTGTGTACAATCATATTTAAAAATACACATTAATTATATTAATCTATTATTCAATCTAAAATTATTTTACCAATCCTCCTTCAACTAGATAAACAATAGTTATCAAACGTTAATATCAAACATTAGAAATTAACGATCATATTGATGAAATAATTAATATAAAATTAATATCCATTTTTCCATTGAATAGTGTCTAATCTACAACTTTAATTTCTATTATTCATTTCCTTCATATATATATAGTTTCATTTAAATCATTGTAAAAATGAGAACCAGAAAATCAGAATGAGATTCATTTATTTGGTCTTCGATAGTATTGAATAATATAATTTATTAATAAATATATAATTGTTCTAAAATGAATGTGGATGACATAAAAAACAAATTAAAAGAATTAAATAAGAAACAATAGGAGAGTTTAAGTAAACGAAAAACCTTGATTAAAGAAATTAAAAGCATGCCCTTTTAGTAATTTGCATTTAATATGATAATAGAAGGAATAATCATAAAAATAAGAAACCTAAGGATGAAAATGAAAAGGTAATTATAGAATACGAATGTTTTGAAGACTTTTGTTATAAATCTTGAGGGTGCAAAGGAGGAACGTGCTGAAAAGTAAAAGTAGCTTGATCAAAAAGTACCCATTGCCTAGAAAGAGAAGGATAGAAGAATAGTAAAATCTCTATTTGGCAACCATTTACAAAGAGCTAAGTAAGATTTAGATGGAGAAAAATAAAAAGTAATTTAGAGTGTTATATGAACATAGTTGGATAAATAAATTGAAATCAATAAAAGACTAGAAGATAAAGACCGACAAGATCTGATGGCATTTAAGGAGGATTAAGATGTATAATATAAATAATAATAAATAGAAAAGAAAAGAATAATTGGTGACAGAAAGAAAGTAATTGGAGAGAGAATTAGCAGCTGATGAATTTAGAAGACAAGTAAATATTATAACAATTGTATTAGTAATTATTATTAGAGCTCTAATTAAAAACTATGAGAGACTTCTTTATCACAAAGTAAATCATTTATGTTAGAAATTCTTAGAACAGCTCCATATTTATTATGGTAGCCAGTTAAAACAAATGAAGGGATGAATCCACTTAAAGAATATAGTAACGAGAGATTTAACGTAAAATTGATTTTAAATTATTCTAAGGAAATGGAAAGGGACCTAAAGGAGAAGTTACAAAGAGCATACTAATAATTCCTTGACTTTTAAACTCAGAAAATAAAAGAGCAGCCAGTTGAGTAGGAGCATGAAAGTTCTCAATCGGAAAGTGATGAATCTTAGGAGAAACCAAAGGAAGATGGGTAAGAATGATGAAAAATTATAGGTATTATATTAGAAATAAGATCATAATTCTCAAAACTCTTCTATTTCATAGTATAATTTAAATAATAAATAATTGTTTTATTTAGATCAGATATGTTTACTAAGTGCAGCTTTTACTGATTTTGCAATATTAGACTATTCTTTTTTATCATCTTCGTTGTCCTTCTGTTACTGCTGTTATGGTTTCTAAGTGTACTTTAACAAAACATTTCCGGTTGGGGCTTGTTATTGACTAACAATGAAGAAAGAATTTTACTTGTCTTAGAGTTTTTTGAATTGAACACTTGGTGAAACAAACTAGTTCATATTGGGAGATTCTAAAAATATTGATAGTTCATTCTTAAACCTTCGCATTCAACAATTCTACCTGTAATAACAGGAGTTCTCATAATCATTTGTTAATCTTTATTTTGGCCTTCTTTCATTTTATTGGTGGCTTACATGACTGGAGATTTTAAGGGTGAGTTAGTCAGTTGATTAATTCTCAGCATATCAAATTTGACAGCTCTAATATAGATTTAGAGATTTACTGTTGATTGATTAATTGTATTCTAGCATTTAACTCAGGTTTATCATCGACTTCATCGATGTCGCCATCTTCTTCAGATGAGATGTTTTATTGAACTCCCTCACATAATTTAATGTATTCAAATTTCATAGCTGATTTTGCTGTAATTCTATTTTTGGGATTAGGTTCTAACATTTGTTTTAATAATTCAAAGGCTTATGGTTGTACAACTTCAAAGACCGAACTCTTGAAATTAACCTTAGCCTCCTTATTTTATTAAACAATAGTGTTATAACTTCTTCCTGGGAATCCTGGTTTCCCTGTCAAAAGTATATGGAACACCAATCCTAAAGAGTAGATATCACAAACACTGTCATATGTAGTTGACATATCTGTAATATTTATGACTTCTGGTGCTACAAAACCAGGTGTTCCACATCTACAATATAAGTAGACTGGAAGATTCACAAATGTTGCCAAACCAAAATCAGCTATAACTACAGAATTTATGTCACTATTATAATAATATTTAAACTAACTTTTATTCTTTGAACAATATATTTTCTAGTTTCAAATCTCTATGCATTATGTTTTTGGAATGCATATGTGCCAATCCTTCTAACAGTCCCTTCATTATAGATTATATTTATTTATTGTTTAATATCACTTTCTTTTTGATTATATCATAGAGTTAACCACCCTATAATAATTCTAGACCCATGTATAATGAATTCTGTGACTCATAGACTTCATAGAGTTTCATGATGTTTGGATGATCCAATTCTCTCATTATGGTTATTTCATTGATGAGTCCTTCCTTATTTTGATATGGATAATCTTACTTTCCCATTCTCTTCAGCATAGACGGCACTTTTTGAAAAGGCTTTAATTGCCATCTATTAACCGTCTTCTATTCTCTCTGCTAAATACACACTTGCAAAATTGCCTTTGCCAATCTTCTTGAACACTTTAAACATATGATGAAATCCCATCTGATTTATTTTTTAACCAAATAGTTTTCTAAATGTTTTTAGGGTTTCTTGATCACTAGTGAAATCCCAGTATTTTTCAGATGATTCAATTGATAATCTTATATGCAAGATATCTCCTAAAGTTTAAATATCCTCTGGTTTAACAATATCAACTCGATTAGAATGAGGAGTGTTTGGAGTTGATTTTTTTGTTTATACATTAGACTTTAAAATAGGAGCATCTCGAAATATTTCAAATCTAGTTGAAAAATCTAAAGGTAATAATTTATGTGCAAATTTTCCATTTTACTTTGAATATAGTTTCAATTACTTTGAATAACAAAATATGTTTCTCAGTAACTACAAGATGTCTTTAATGTTACTATTTCCCTAATTTTGTTACCGTTGCTTCATATTTGACCTTAGGCTATACAAAATCCTTAGGAATAGTTTGCCACAATTTTCCTTATTCATTTTGTTGCATTGATAATTATTTTTAGAAATACTGAAAATATTAATAAATAATTTAATCACAATTCTTAATTCATCTTCTGTGATGATGATGTCCATGGTGTTTATTACCTAAAATAAATAAATGAGAATTATATACCAACTACAACAACATTTGCTGAATGATGATGGTGATGATGTCCAATATTTTCAATCATCCTAACAGTCTCAATAGCTGCAAAGGTTCCTAAAGCAGTTCTAGCCATTGTACCTGCAAATCCAGGACCTTATTTTTGATAGGATTATTATTATTATTATTATGGTTATTATTGTGAATTTACTACAATAACTTGATTGGGTCCTTATTATGTCGTAGGGTAGTATTATTAATTATTTGGATATTATTAGTATGTTTAATATTGATTAGGCTATTAGTAAGGATTTCCATAAGGAGGAATCTAATTTGGGGCATTAATTTGATTCTAAATTGGATAACCTTATTGTAATTAGGGTGTCTGATTTTGCTTCATTGAATATATCAATTCAGATGAAACTACAGGTTACATTACAGTCTAAGGTTGTTACTCATATTAGTATCGTGATTCTTGCTCAAAATTAGTCAGAACAATGTTTTCATATGGATTACTTGGGTAGATGATTTCAAGCAAAGGAGAGAACTATATAAGTATGATAAATACTTGTTAAGTCAAAAATTCTCTAGGTAACTTGGTTACTTTGAAAGTAAGGGATTCTAGGCATCCTTTTTTATAAGAACCAGAACATCCTGTAAATGTATAGCCCATAAACATGTAATTAAATTTGTAACCCTAATCTTTTCCGAAGATAGCTTGTTATCCCTTATAAGTTATTATTCCTATTTAAGTAATCCCAGATTCGTAATATCCGAAAAGAACTTAAATATAATCATCTAAATTTAAATTTTATTATTACTTGGACCTATTTCAAATTCATATTGACTGATGTTTTTCCCAGTTATGCAGGTGTCATTACAGATTATTTTTCTTCCATTTTATATATTTTAATAAGTAAAAGCGATTCCGCATATTTAGGTTTCATTTAGACTAACTTTAACACCTGAAATTTTGAATTCCTCGTTTCCTAATTGCATCTTATCATCAAATTTTTAGAGATCTTATCTATCTACTCCAAGTGTTATTAAGGCTGGAACTTTATTTGACATAATTAAATAATTGTTTTTCTATATTTAAAATTTTCTATATAAATGAAAATGGAATGGTGAATTAACCCAATTTTAATAAAATCATTTATTGATTTATTAAACAAATTTTTCTTTATCAGATAGATAAATCAAATGAATATCATTGCAATGAATTAACATTTGTTGAACTCTCTATTAAGGTTAAAGTCATGTTTTTCAAAAATATAGATCAACATTTAATTATTCCTACCTAAATATACAAATTTAATATTACTATTAAATTTCAATGATAATTTACAAGATATTTATAATTACAACATAATATCAGGAATATATTTAAATTATATATGAAATTGCAATAGATTGATTTTGTTTATCAAATTTGTTTCTATTTTTCTACAGGTGATAAGAACTTTCCTATATATTGCATATAAGTATTTTTGATTTAGTCTTTAATAGTTGGAGATTGAGACCTTTAAGATTGATTAATTTCTGGAGGAATGTTTACAGGTTTTGGAGACTAAGATCTTTATTTTTTATCGAAGTCAGCTTTGATACCTGAAGGCCTTATATTATCTAATTCTTCAAGAGCTCTTTTGATTGGACTAATCTCTCTTTCACAATTTCTTTTATAAGTATATCCATGAAAATATTTTTTATTTTCATTCATAGATTTGTTATTACTTTAATCAGTATCGTTTTAAGTATGAACAATGTGTTTCCAGGGTTCTTTCTCTTCAAACTTATCAAAATTAGCCGTTAATTTCTTTTTATCAGGTAAATAGGGAGGTTATTGATTTCTTATATTGGTCCAATCAATGCCACAAAAGAAAGGGTGCTTTTTGATTTTTTTTGGTTCTCCCAGTCGTTCATTTTGATCGCAGATTAATTTAGTAATTAAATCTTAACATTAAGAGGATATCTTAGGCTCTTTGGGTATTTTAAAATGAGTTTTCCAAGTTACAATTTTTTGACACGTTTTTTTTGAAGTATCACTATAAAAAGGTGTATGGCCTAAGACCATTTCAAATAAAATGACTCCAACACTCCACCAATCAACTAATTAGTTATATCCTTTTTAAGAGAATATTTCTGGAGCAATATAATCTGGAGTGCCTACTGTAGAGTATGCTAATTGACGACGTGAACTAGCATTTTTGGATTGCATTTCTTGAGTGTTATTTTAATAAGGGATGGTCATATCGTAATGTACACCTAAATGCTTACAGAGACCGAAATCAGAAATTTTGAGATGGCCATTTGCATCAATCAGAATATTATCAGGCTTAAGATCTCTATGGATGTAATTCATGTTATGAATTTCTTCAACTGCTAATACGAGTTCAGCTATATAGAATTTGGCATGTCGTTCTGGAATTATATCTTTTTTAATCAATAAAGTCATCAAATCTCCTCCACTCAAAAATTCCATCACTAAATAGAGATTGTCATCATCTTGAAAAGAGGATTTCAATTCGACAATCCATTTACATTTAGATTATACCAATAAATCTCTTTCAGCTCTTATGTGGACTAATTGATTTTTAAAGATCATTTCAGATTTCTTTATTTTTTTGATTGCAACAATTTCAGTCGTGCTCTTATGTCTACAGACTCTTACTTCTCCAAAAGCTCCTCGACCAATAATGGCAAGTGATTCGAAATCTTCAACTGTAATTTTTTATCTCCTAAAGATTATATCATATTAACTTCTTTCTTAATAACATTGCTTCCTTGCGTTGTATTTCCTTTTTTATCAGCTCTTGTTCAATAGGAGTAAAACTTAGGCTTTTTAGAATTAAATCCAATTGTTGCCAATCTTATAGCCTTTCCTTCTCTTCATCCTTAAACAATTTGTATTTCCTTTCTATGTAGACTTTGCAAGCATTGGCTCTGTCTTTGGTTTTATTACTAATTTTGATTTCTGCCATTATTAATAAGTTTATAATTGACTAATTATAGATAAATAATTATATAATTTTAAATTGTCATAATCTGAACATAAACGTTGTTTTAGGTTAAACCTACTATTTCTTCTACAACCCTATAAAAGGTGAAGTTTTTTTTGAGTTCGTAAGTTCTATCAAAAAATTAATATGCATATTATTATAATGATATTCTATCTTAAGATCTATTAGGAGATGTGTCAGTTCTTGTATTAAAGGAAAATCTTTATTCATAATTTTTCTAGCTCCTTCTCTAAGGATAGAGATTCTGAAAATCAAATGAAAATTAAGGATATGAAGTCTGCCTTCTAGTTGTGTTTGGTTTTCCCAATTGTTTATTAAGGTAAGTATCAAAATCCATTCTCAATTTTGGAGATGAGTTTTTGCGTTCTGGAATTCCATTAAATATGTTAGTAATTCTTTATTACATTTCTTTAAGTCTATCTTACGAAATTTCATTTCTATCTTTCACTAAATAGGAATGTTTCGGCGGTGATATTTTCTTGTTATAATTGAAATTATCCAAAAAATTAAGAGGTCGTTATTGCTCATATTTAGGAGTAATAGTTTGAGTAAAGTGATTAATTTAGAAATCTCCTTAAATATTGATGTATTTAGTAGGTGAATTTCCAGAAGCATAACTTTTAAATAGATCAGAGAACTATTGTGTTGATTTCTATCCAGACGAAGTTAAAAGTTATTGTTCTGTCTCTTATTTAGGTTTTTGTTAAGACTATTATTAATTTTTTGCTTGCTTTATATTGTAATCAGCTTGAGTCCAATGAGTTTCAAATTCTTCTAAATCTATGGCTCCAGATTTTGAGGTGTTCAAATATTCAAATAGCTATTTAATGGTTCTATTATTGATATATTAATAACTAATACTCATCAGATTGGATATTATGATTTCTCTTTAATTCCGATTCCAGATCATCAATCTCAATTTCTCCAGAGTTATTTACATCCAAATCATAGTATGCTGTATTACTGTCATTGTATTTCTTTTGAAGGGTTTCCTTGATTCCTTTCCAAATGTTCAATAATTGTGATTAATCCATAATAAATTTTATTTCTGTAATTAATTTATTGTGTATTTCAATAAATTAGTTAGTTTGAATTTATCACGCTCTTCATTGGATTATTATTAATTACACAAATGAACATATATTTTATAATACTAAAACAGAATAAATAATAAAATTAAATTAAAACAATCAAGTATTGTTATTGAACATGCAAACACTTTCGGAATCGAAAAAAAGGATTCATGAACAATCATATGCATAAAAGGTTGCCTATCCCATAACTCCTGATAAATCTCATATCAAATTGAATGAATCTCTATTCAATGCCAAAATAGTAGCCAAGAAATCCTGCTCATTAATTAAAGATGTCTAAAAAGATGTTTAATTGACAATCAAAAAATATGATGAATTCCTAAAACTTGTAAATACTCCTAATAAGGTTCCTGATTCTATTACAAGTTCTCCATCTATTATGAAACTACATCAAATAGAGGAAACAACAGAATAAAAAGATGATGATTAAGCTCTTCTAAGTCAATATTAGAGATATGCAAGTTCCTAAGAATTGAGAAGACAATCTGTACCATTAGAAAGATCTGAATTGAGATTATCAAGTTTTAAGGTGAAAGAAGAACTCTTTCCTGTAGAAGACATTAGTCCCATCAAATAATAAAATAACAGTTATTTTGTATTTCGAAGAAATTCCTCTCAAATCTTGACTTCTCCTCCTCAAAAAAAATCTTAATAATCTATTCTCTCGGATTATTAAGGAAGTTATGCTAAAATTCATTTACGCAAATCTCCAACTGCCCCTAGGATAGAGATTGAGATTAAACAATAAGAGAAACCATAATCCCCTCCAGATATTGCTAAAAGAAACCAGGAATGGAAATAAAGACTCCAAGATAAAATTAATTTTGAATAAAAAAGGAAGAGTGAAAAAGAAATGAAGGATTGTACATTTAAACCAAAACTCAATGAAACAAAAATGAGTGAGAAATCTAAAAAGAATATTGTACAAAAGAATAAGAAGAATTAAAATAAATCTTAAACTCCTGAAGTGAAAGAGATAATGCACATCATCGCAGACTTAAATTAATTTAGCAAATAATTAAAAAAGAGGTTGTGATGGTCAAGTAAACATATATGATTTAGTGATATATATACTATTAATAAAATTAAATATAAATTATTCTTAAAGTAACATCAATATTAATTTTTTTGTTTCTTGATTTGATGAGTGCTTTCACTGAAAACTTCTTGTGTAAGAAACCTATAAATTCATATAATTTTCTATGCTCTCTGTTATTTCTGAATGTAAGTTCTATCTATTCACTTCAGACACTTCTAGAGATCCTTTATGATAAATCCTTAATCTCACTTTTATCTTTATCAAGCTAATTTGAACTCATAAAATTTCTGCAGCATCATACTTTTAGTTAACTTTCTCAAATTTAGGTTTTTAAAGAACTTTAAGACTTTGATATGCTTTTATTTTTTTCTGTTTCTCTTATGATTATCAAAATGACTTGAGATTACTAAGTCTAAACATTTTCGAACGATATTTCTCACTCCAAAATCATAATATTGAGACAGACTTGGTTCGTACAGCAGTTGGGAACTAATGTTCTAAATTGATATTATGTTGTTTTTGTAGAAATATTTACTAGGTTAATTATGTTTAGTTCATTTAGAATTATAATATCAGATGTAACCCATTTTAGCTGCGATGTCTTCTTTTGTCAATCCATCTTTATCTTTGCTTGCATCTTAGATGAATTCCAGAATGTCGGCATCACTTATTTGAATATCCAGATATTGAGCAAATACATTCTTTATTTCAGTCAATCCCACTTTGCGATCCCTTGATTTTAATGGTCATTTTTACTTTCGAACAAACAATTCATAAATTTCATCGATTTCATCATCTCTGCCTTTATTTTCAAACCACTTTCTTGAAATCAATTATATAACATCCTTCAACGAAAAGCTATCACGAGTTCTAAGTATAGGAGGAAAGAATACTCTTCTACAACATCTCTTATTTCTTCTTCTATGTCTTTAACGGTTTTATTGATGAAACCAAAATTGCCCAAAATTGATCTCATGTTCTGACGATTGATGAATCCTGTTCTGGAGGGATCATAAAAATTGAAACAGTCTCTGATTTCTGATTCCTATTATAATATTAATATCGTATAAGATACCATATCATCAGGGAGTTTCTAGGTGACTTATTGTTTGGGACCCTTGCTTTGATTTTTGGGATTTTGGAGAAGAGTTTACTTTTTTTTATCTTATTTCATAGGGGAATTTAATTATTATTTAATTATTAAATAATAAAATAATCAATATCCTTAATGAATAGCAACAGCAAATCAATATATAAAAACGTTGAATTCCAAGATGAACCCTATTCGACCAACAACAAATTTGCAGTTTATGTTCCCAAACAAGAAATACCAAGATATTCAGCCACTCAACAGGTGTTTTACAATCAATAAGCACAGCAATCACCGCAAAAACATTTGAAAGTAGAGTTTCAAGATGAACAAGAAAATCGTAATCAACAAAATCAGAATGAGCAATAACAATTTGAATAGGAATAGTAATAATAGTCTTAATGTAATCAACCTAAGGCTGATACCCATAAACAAAGAAATGTAACTTAAAACAGATACAGATTATCAAATCAAACTCCTAAGACTGCATAAGGGAAGGAGCAATAAAAATTTTACAGTTCTACTCCTTCTCAAAGCATCCAAAAGCAGAGGACTCTCTAATAATTCAAGGACAGCCTATATTTTGATGAAAGAATTAATAAGGTACCCAAATCGACCATCAGAAATCAAATTATTGACAGTATTGTTAGTGATGCTGATTTGTTGCTTCAAAAAAGAGAGTTAATGACATCCATTTATAAATTGAAACAACTGAATCTATTAAAAAACAAGGAATTTGCAGTGTAAACTTGAAATATCAATTTAGGAATCGTCTTCCAGGAATTGGAAAATCAAGTTTTGTGTGTAATGATTATCACACCAAGAGCACAAACAATGGATACTCTAGAAATTTCGGTGGAGTATTTTATACTAGATGAATAATATATCTATTATAAAATAAGCATTATAAAATTATATTCCAAGTCCTAAATACTTTGAGATTGAAATGAGGTAATCCAACATTTCCATCTAAGAATAATATTTATATTTCTATATTCTATCGATATAACCATTTCTCTTGTATTTCAGAGTTTCATGTTATTAAGGAATGAGTGATAGGCAAATGAGTGAATCGATTTCATGAACAAAAATTAAAAATTTTAAGTTTAGAATAGGATATTGGTATAGATGATCTTTGTAATATTAAATGGACTGATTTGAGAAGAGATGTGATAATTAAATGAATTATAGGTGCGAGGTTAGTAGCATTGTGTGAATTGATGAATAATTTTATTGTAGTTATATATGACATAAATTAAATAAAGATATATTTATTTTTTAAAATGGTAACAAATATCACTAATAATCATGTTAGGGAGTTGATGCATATAAGAAGACAAGAGTACAAAGAAATGTTTAAAGAAAGGTGACCTCAACAAACCTTTATTTGAAATTGTTAATCAAGGTATTTTAATAATTGATTTGAATCCTAGCTATATAAATTCTTAGCCAGAAGAACAGATTCAAATTTCAATGCAACAGTCTTAAGAAGACTCTAATAAACAAGAACAGCCAGATATCCAATTAGTGTTAGCAGACTTGTTAAATAAATTAATACAGCCAAAGACAAGACTAGAACACTTGTTGTCGTAGGCACTGTCACAGATGAGTAATTATTTGTAAAAAAGCATTAGTGTGCGTCTCCTCACTGTACCCAAGATCAACGTGTGTGCTTTGAGATTCACTGAGACTGCAAGAAAGAGAATTCTTGCCGCCGGTGGAAAGGTCTTGACATTCGATCAATTAGCACAATAAAACCCAACAGGTATATAAATAATATAATATTCAAGGCACTGGAACAATCTTATTGAGAGGACCAAGAGTCAGAGAAGAATTGAAGCATTTTGGCAGAGCATCAGGATTACCAGGATCACATGCTAAGCCATATGTCAGCCACACTGCAAGAAGAGGAAAGGGTGCAAGATGATTGTTCTTTTTAAGTACATTAATATATAAAAACATCGTAATCATTTAATCAAATATTATTCACATAAATATTGGTTTTAATTCCCATTAGAATTTATATCATAAAACAAACACAAATTACCATTCCTTATTCTTGTTCCTATTACCACTTTTATTTCATCTGTGTATATATATTACTTCATAATTATTCAACTAAAAATAGAATCTGCTATTTTGAATGAATTGAAGTAACATAATAATATAATTGCTAATAAATATTAAAGGATTCTAATATCCATTAATACCATTTGTATTTCTATTATAAACTCAATCACTTTTATATAAGTAGTATTATAATCATCTGGTTGTTCTTAAATATTATGCTAACCTTGAAGATATAATGAAAAACAATGTAGAGTTGATAGTTAATAAAATGAGAATCAAAATGAAGAAATACAATTAAATAAATTAAGTCATTCTGTTTGTTAATGCTTTAATAGGTACTAAGTTAAGGCGTTATCATTTTGTAAATTTAAGAAGTGTCCTCTTAATTGGGCTAATTCAAGCCAGTGCTGCCATGACTTTTTATTCAATTCTTTATTTCCATTATATTTAAATCTGGTGATCATCATCTTCCAATGACATTCCAATTAAAGCATACAAAATGAATAATTAGCTATTTCTGTCAATCCTGATATTTTGATGATTTATTGAAGGGTGAATGGTACACTATGCATTAGTAATTTTGGATTTTAGAGGATCTTTCCTATGTATAATCTGATAGTTTCCATCAACAAGGCCTCTTCTCCAGGCCATAACCTTCTATTTTTGCCTTATCCATATAATATATTTAATCCGTCAATAATTTCATGATATGCGATGTTTCTGGGGATGGGGAAGTTCTTTTTGTTCCTTTCTATTTATTTCCTTTCATCTTGTGGTAAAGTTGGTATCCAAGCCTACAGAATTGATTGATTGGTCTTATTTAGAAATGTCTAACCTTAGGGTAGATATTATAGTATAACATCTGATTGATCCTTTGTGTGATCTAATAAAATAAGTTATTTATTGAGGTCGTTCATTTGAGTATATTATCTATGAACATTTGAACTTTTATTCGTTAACATAGGTTTTCTGATTTGGAATTCTTTCTTTAATATATCCACTGTTTAAGCACACTGAACATCCTTATATTACCGACTTCTGGAGACGCTAACAATCGCAGAATCAGCTAGGTTGCTATTGTGATGCAATAGACTTAAGTCTAATTATATGTTCGCCTAAGGTTATGTGTGTCTTTTTCGAGGAGTTGAATTTCTTCTGTTAGACTATGGGCCTCGTAAACATTGATAAAAGAATGAGTTATTCTAAAAATTAAGGTCCATTGAAATTAAATAAATATATGAACATTAGTTTTATAATCATTTTTCTACATCCATTTTAGTGCCTTTATTTAGTGATTTTTATATCTCTTTGGTGATTAAATGATGCTTCTTTTTGCTAATTAATTTTTTTAATTGATCTTTATGATCTTATTTAAGTTGATACAATTCACAGACCCTCAAAATCATTTGATGCCAAATAACTGGCATTTCTCTTTGATCATTCTCATATCTCATAAAATATTTAATCACTTCATCTAAAGCCTAAAATATTGTTAAATAATACTCTCTCTGGTAGAGAAAACTTCTTTTCAATTAACACCTTCAAAATCACAGCCACTGGACCAGTAAAATCTAACTAGGCAACTTTAAAGATGGCAATTGAACCATGAATAGGTGGAACATGTAACTAGAATATCAAATTAAGTGATTTACTTTATGAATAACACTACCGATAATTTATGCTTCTTTTAGTGTAAAATCCTTCTCTAAACACAATGGGAATAATATTGATCTGAACCATGCTTATGGCTTATACATAGCTTTAATTAATGCATTGTATAAATGGACATTTAACCTTTTATCTTCTTGAATGCTTAATCTGATTGCAGGTAATATAACAGTGGAATATAAATATTCAGTTTGTTATCTATCTAATGCAGATGAAAATATTTTAGTAGCTGCAAAGATTGCTTGAGGTGACCATTCTGAAGGTTTGGTTAATTCGAACACTTGTTTCCAATGTTCCAATTTGGGAATGAGATGGAATGGTTATGGTAATTTACCTGATCTGTATGTTTTCATCAATTCTGCAACACTATAAAATATAAATTTATTCTTTACTTTTCATAGACACATACTACTTTTGGATTATTCATTATATTTTCATGGTGTTTCTTATTTTCATCATCTTGTAATCCTTTTTAGAAATCTTCAATAATTTAATTAGTTTTAGTATCATTTCCAACCATAAATTATGATAAGATTTATTCATCTTCAGGTGATATCTTTAATGAATCAATTATGAATGTATTTGGTAATTCAAGTACATCATCATGTTCTTCATGTTATTCTTGTTGCTTGTCTTTTGGTTTTCTAGTTTATTTTTGAGTTTCTCGTTTGATTCTTCTTAACTCTCTCATTCCTTTCTTTTTCTCTCCTAGTCTTCTCAAAAGCTTTCCTGGTTATTATGTTAATGCAGTGGCACTGATAAAACCAACTTTTTTATTTGATTATTTTAGAACTCCTTGAGATGTACGTAAGACTCTTTGTTTTTTTGCTGTCTTTTTAATTACCATTAATTATATTAATATAAAATGTGAATGTATAATTCAAGGCAATATTCCATTAGTTCTCTTCTGAAAATTGTCATATTAAGCAGTTCTCCAACTTGATAAACTTTAATTTATCAATCTATCCACTAGACCCATAATCTGTATATATAATAATGTTCATACTTCTTAATCAGTTGCATTCAATTAAAATCTATTGGTGAATGCCTTCAAATCCAAATTACCAAAGCAAGGCAAATCAGATTTCTCCACCATTATCTTAAAGAAATTCTCGATTTCTATAACATATTTCTTCAATGCTAAGAATCCTTTGGTCATCAAGGTTTTGAAATATCCGAAATAGTCACTTTCTCTCCCCTTCATTAATTCCACATATTCTTGAGTCAATTTAAAAGGGGCTGATTCAAAATTAACTCCGCCTGGGGAGGTTTACAATAAGAAACCAAAATCAATGTGAATAATATGGCCTCTATCATCTATTAACAAGTTTCCATTGTGTCTATCCTTAATCTATCAATTCAGTAGCATTGATTTATACCTACATCAAATAAGAAAACAATGAATAGCTGGCTAAACTTTCAATGAAATTCTTCTATGCTTCTTCAAAAGAATTCCCGAAAACTTCCTAATAAATTTAGTAGAGAGTCTTGGTACCATTTCCAAACATTTTCTTGAGGGAATCAATTGATGTTGTATTTGGAATATACTCTATTGATACACATATTCAATACCAACAATTCCAGAGTTAGCTGAAGTGACAATAATTTGATAGGGTCTTAAATAGAGTTTCAAATCTGATTCTTTAAATATCCTATTGAACTATTTCATCATTTAAATTGCGAACATTTCTTGTCTGAGATCATCTCCTCCCTTAATAATAATTGGTCTAATCTTGAAGGATGGAAAGTTTTGGTATCTTGATTCTTTTTTGTAATTCTGTATTTTTTCTTCCCAACTCTATGTTAATTATATATTGAATTTACTTATTCCCATAATTGAAAGTTTCTCTTCTTGAATTTCTTGAGCATATATAATTTTTCTACTGGCAGTATCATTTATAGTTATTTCTAAAATTCTTGATATTTTTCCTCATTCTTTTCTTATGATCTTGATTTACGTTGATTTTACGGTTATCTGGTAGATTGTAATGATAACAATCTCTTGCGTTGAAATGAGTCTTACTATTATTATTCCATCTTCTTTTTGTCTTAATCATCAGAGATTTATTGTTTCTAAAATTATCAATTGATATTACTTTGACTTATTTTTACATATATTGATCGATGCTTTACATGATCTAACTCTATCTCTTTCCTTTCTTCTCCATCTTCATAATCTTCTCTAGTGCCTCATGATATAATTTTTATTCTTCCACATCTATTTATGCCATTTGTCTTTCAAATCCCTAATCGTTCAATTATGCTTCTATATAACCAGCTACCTCAATATTTGGCTACAATTGTGCTGGTATAACCTGATATTGATTCATTTCTATGGGACTATCTCTAATAACCCAAATAGTTACTTGATTGTTTCTACGAGTATCAAATAGGGCACTCTTTTTTTTGTATGGAAACAAATTTGATGTTTTTCCAAAATATTTACAATGCAATATGAATTACTCTGTTATTTATCATCATCATAAAAGGGCAGAGATATTCCAAGTTAGAATTTCTTAACTATTCTCTATAAACTTTAATTCTGTTTTTGAATGAGTAATTTGAGATGATGTTTGCGATCCTCTCTTGCAAATTCCTTCAATACTAAGGAGTGCTTAATCAAGGTTCCCATAAACTTTTGGACTTCTGTGAAGTATTCTTATCTTAGGTCTTTTTCTTGAAAATCTCTTAATAAGATTTTATTTTATTCTTCTTAATCTAGTGATTCAAATCTCTTCTCATTGAATTAGCCATTCACCATTGCCATTTCCATTTACTAACATTAATGCTCATATCGTTACTCTTAAGAATTGATCGATCTTCTACTTCTTCTTCTTTTGCTTCTCCAATTGCAGATAAGCCCCCAATAACCAATACAGCTTTAAGGTTCATATAAATAACGTACATTAAAAAACATAGACATCGACTGACTGCATTATTGCTTAAAGAAATCAAAAAGTTATTAAACTTCAGTTTTAATAAGCAATTAACAAAATTAAGGAGAATAAAATGTTATTGTCTTCTCCGGTATTTTGTTCAGACGTTCTGCTAGTAAATTCAACACATCAGGTTAATCCCTATATTTGGAGATATTTTGCAAAAGCATCTCAGGAGTAAAGTATTCTGATTCAAAGAAATTCTTCAAACTATTCAATTTATCAGCATTCATTTAATAATTAATAATATTATATTCAAGCTGTTTTACGAGATATCAAACTAAGAATCACACTACTTTCAATTATATTTAATAATAAAATATAAAATGACTCAAAACAATGAGGAATTGCCTTTCAATCCCTTCAACCCTATTAAAACATACAGACTCTATTCCTCAAGGAGTCAAACCATTCATCAAACAAATAGGCAGAATTCTGTTCAATTGGTTAAACAATAAAATGGTTCCACCAATCCCTATAATCAAATGGGAATCACTAATTATGCATTGTTTATAAGAAACTCTGAAAACAAAGGATTGAAATCAGATCAAAATTTCCAAGCCTACATCTAGAGATTGGAAGAAAACAGAAAACTGTCTAAGAACTTAATCCAAAAAACAAAACAGCAACAAAAACATGAGTCAATGTAAACTCAATAATTCGAAGATGATACTAAGAAGACTAGTCATGGACCTTAAATTAAAAATACAGCTAAGGATCAAAAGAAGGAGAAGTTTTAACATCAGATCACTGAAATGATTGCAGAAATAAAGAGTCCCTTTTATAAGAAGGGAAGGTACTTATTGAATGAGGACAAAGACAAAGAAAAGAAATTGGCAAAACCATTATTTTATGGAATCCAAAATCAAACTAAATAATAACAAAGACGAAAACTGGTCTTCTCTTAAATTGATATAAACAAATGTATCAGCAATATCGTATTTTAGTAAGATACAAGATCTTTTTTGATGATTACAATCCATTATCACGAATGGTCACTAGTCAATAAAGTTAGTAGAAGGAAGAAACAGTCAATGAATCACCACTAAAAACAGACTAATAATTCTTTATTGAATAATGAACTATATTAATATACTTTGTAATGTAAGAATGTTCATTGCGATGTCTTTTTTAACTCTTCCAATTCAAAAGCTTTCTTAATAGCCTCCGTATTGATGTTTTGATTTTATTCCGACTTGTCCTCCTCCAATTGTTCTCAAAAGTTCATGGTTTTCATTGTAATGTTATCTCAAGTCACGAGCCTTACAATTTTATTTAATTAATTACTAAATTATCGAATTCTGCTTGATCCTCTTTTCTGACATCAGTCAAAGCAACACAAGTAGCTGTTTTCTGATGAACCAATGCTCCCAATCTGGCCTTGTCTAAGATAGAATGATTAACATCTATACTTTTAATGAAACAGAAGGGAACTTCTTGTCTTCTGCATAATTAGGGTAACCAGACTACTAATTCAATTGGATCTACATCATAAGCTATTAACCACTAGTTTTGCTTTTTTAGTAGTTCGACCAATGTAGTGACATGATTAAAGACCAAATTTCAAGACTTTACACTTTCTTTTGATTCTCCCTTTTAAGCTTATGCTTTTTATTCAGCCAACTTTGTTAGTCTTTGTTTCTTTTCAGTTTTTGTTTCTGGTGAGTATTTCTTCAATAAACTCAAGACTTTAGAAGCTGATAAGTTTAGATATGGGTATTTTACATTAATTTTTATCTAATGTTCTGCTGAATTAATGGATTGCAGCTGGCACTTTGATTCTTTGAAGTAAGATTTTCTTTTATCTATGCAACAAGATGTATCTAGGCCATCTAACATATCTGGATAGATCTCGTTTTGGTTGAACATCATTGCCAATTCTGAAACTTTTAGCATCCTTAACAAATAAGGGATTCTTTTTTCTGTCAGCAACTCTCTTTTATTATTTCTTAGCTTTAGATGTTTTTGGAGCTTTAGGCTTTGAATACAAATATATTTAATACCATTTTAATATCTTTTTAAATAAAAAATAATATATATATATGGATAATGATTATTCATGTATTAATATGTATTTATTTTTGTGGTTTCTGTATAAGTTCTTTAGGGATTGGAATATATATAGGGATGCATATGATTATTAAATAAAATTCTAATAAAAAATAAGATTGATATTAATAAATAAATGGATACTAATAAGTTAAGAAGTTCAGGTTATCAATTATCAGACAGAGTTTAATTTGGAGGAGTCTTCGAGCCAGAGAAATGCAAACAAATCGCAAAGCAAGTGATGGAGTTGTACGATGCAAACAAGGATGGTTATATTGAATAAAACGAAATTGCCATGATGTTATCAGATGCCTATAGAGCCATGAATAAAGGATTCAATCCAACTTCTCAGGATGTTTCAAATTGCTAGGCCATTTTAGATAGTAAGTTTATGGATATTTTAAGGGAAATCGACTGGACGTGTTCACACAGAGGATGTTGAATAATTGGTATAGAAGTATTTCTTCTGGACAACCACCAGCTTAACCAGTCAAGAGAGTGCCAGAGAAGTTTGTCAAGAATAGCACAAGAAAGATTGGAGGTGGCCAGACGTATCTTCAAGTTCGTGGACAAAGATGGATCAGGATTTTTGACTGAGGAGGAAGTAACAGAATTGTATCTATAAAATATAGGTGCCAGAGTTATTGAAGGAAACTTACAAGCACATGGGAATGAACGATTATCAACCAACAAAGGAGGATGTGACCATTTGGATTTAGATGACTGACACTGATGGGGATGGTAAGGTGACTTTAGAGGACTATGAACAATTGGTTTTGGATTCATTGAGAAAACAAGGAATCAGTTTGGAATGATTTAATAAATAAGTAGAATATATATAATAGTAATTGCACTTCAAAGCAATAATTAAACTGGACTAATTACTGAGGGTGACTCTAAATAAGTATTGATGTAATGGTTGAGTTTTAATTTGCGCTTCTGTTGGAATTATTTCATTTTTCTGCATTCAACGTACAATTCTTGCTCGGAGTAATTGCATTCTTCAAGGAATTTGTTCATTTCGAACTCCTTGAAGAAGTTTTCGAGATCCAATGATTGGCGTGTGTTTGACTTATAACTAAACTCTGGCAAATTGACCATTTGAAGTGACATTAATGTTTCGGTTAAAAATTAATTATTAAATTATTATATCTCCGATTAAGCTATATATGCAACACACACTCCTCTTTGTTGAATGCATTAATTTATAATCGATAAAACTAAAAAGAAAATGTATATGTTAACTATATTATTAATTAAATATTTGAATTTTTGTATATAAAGACTATTCATCATTAATGAGTACGCTGTCCACCATTTGTCAGAAACACATCAAACACATAGAAGGTACCTTATCAACAAAATACTTAGCATTCTGTTCCGATGATTGTTCTTTGCTATGCATTAACTGCATCCTCTACGATGGTCACAAAGGCCATTAGTTTCAATCCTTAGAAGATGTATTCCCTATCTTCTATTTAGAGTTTACGATTGGAATTGAATAGATTCTACTCCATCTCTGAAAACGTCCAATAGAATCACTAGAAAGCCATTAAACAATTTCAATAGTTAGCATAGATGAATGACCAACTAGACATCGACTATCAAAGACTCAACATCGAAATCACAAAATTCTTCAATGCAATTCGTCAATCCATTCAAGAACGAGAATCCAAACTTCAAGAACAAGTATCCTACATCCCTACCTATCTATTAGTTAAATCAGTCACTCCTCAACTAGAGGCAACAGATCTCTCAAAACCAATCAAAGCTCCAACTCCAATTATAAGATATTAATGATTATTTGCAAGAATTATCAGAGTTAGATGAAAAGTCTTAGGATCCTATAAAATTCTTATAGACAACTCAAAATAGAACTAAACTCATCAATAAGTTACCAAAATCCATAGTTACAATTGATTAGACAATTAAATTTCCTGAATTAAATAAAGAATAGGAGAATCAAAACCTTATTAAAGTATTATCAAAAAAAGTTAACACTCAACAAGTCTTACCTCCTCCGCCTACTTAATAGACTGCATCCACTCAACAAAAAATAGTTTAATCCATAAAAAAATAGAGTAGTAACAATTAGTAGTAGCAGTCATATAACGCTCAATATCAATAATAATAGAATTAAATCCTTTAACTGTAATCGCAATAATAACAACAAAAAAAAATGAACTAATCAAAAAAGGTGCCATTATGTGAAACCAATGGACCTTGTGCAGTGTAGATTAATTTAAAAAAGAAGGTTGAGGAAAAACAAAATAATTAAGTTAGATTGACTAACTTTCATGAGGCTAGAAATTAAATGAAAGAGAGGAACTATGAAAAAAGCATTGAAAGGAGGAAGGATAGAGATCACAGTACTCCTAGGAGATTATTCAAGAATCAATCAAAAGTTAGTTAAGATCCCTAATCTCCTTTTTTGAATTAGGATGATTCAAAATAAGAGATCAATACATTCCTAAATTCAATCCATGATTTTGAACCTGAATTAACGAATGTTAGTCATATGTCAATGGATTATCAGTATATCACAATAGGTGGTTTTGTTGATAGTTTAAAATAAATAGTTGAGAAATACGATATAAAAACAGATTATCCTAGTGAGAAAGATTAATTAAAAAATAATAGATGTAAATTTGGAATTGCACATTTAATTAATGGGAATGTTCTATTAATGGGTGGAAAAGTCGATGGAGTTCGTATTGATACTTGTGAGGAATATAATTATAAGGATAAAAAGGTTATTCCATCAAAAATCAAGTTGCCATCATCAAGAAGTGGATTTGGCACTTTGAATGTGAACCAATTTATTTATGTGATTGGTGGAAATGATGGTTAAGGTAATTAATATTATCAAACGTTTTAGAGAATTTAAAGGATTTCGATTGCTTTAATTAGATTGACAATAATTGGATTAAATTCCCATCTATGATTGAAGCCAGAGATGAGTTGGCTGTTTGCATGTATGAAAATGCCATCTTTGCCATAGGAGGATTCGGTGGTCAATGTAATAGTATTTCATCATTCTTTTTAGTCAACACTTGTCTAAAAACCGTCGAGGTGTTTACTTCAGGTAAATGGGGTCATTGTGCTCCATTAAATATACCAAGAAGAGCATTAGCAGGTGTGTCATTACCTGATGGTATATATGCTATAGGGGGATTTGATGGGACATAATATTTGAATAGTGTCGAAAAGTATGAGGATGGCCGATGGACCTTAATAGAGTCTATGATTCATCCGAGATGCACACTGTCAGCTTTGGCAACTCCTGATAATTAATACATTTATGTATTTGGAGGGTTTGATAATGGTCCTCTGGATTCTGTTGAAAAGTAAGTTTAGAGTTTATATTTTAAAGGTATTCAGTGTTGAGTGGAAATTGGGAAGAAATAAATTCATTGATGGCCAAGAGATTTATGCATTAGACTTTTATTACACTTGTATGATTCTTTTAAAATAAATCATATATATATATCATAATTAAAATTTGAGAATGGATTGGATATATAAATAATAATCATTTTAGTTTTTATTTGTTGACAACCTAAATCATATTGGTAGTTTGATCTATTTGCTTGGATTGTTAGACTTAATTAACAATTCTTCTTTCTGCCAATAATTTCTTTTGCAACTCAATACTTTGAGAATAGAGATTGGAGAGTTTCATCTCTTTCATTGATTCGAAAGATTAATCACAATCATCAAATGCATAAAGTTCTGAAGGATCATCAAAGTTTGAAAGAATATGATAGCTTTTTCTGCTTTTCAAAGGGTTCCCGAAATACTCTTTTTAATCTTCTTGTTTTTACTAAAACCTTTCAATCAACATCTACCCATGAATGTATTTAAATAGTTGCACATCCTTAATCGAAGGAGGTGCCTTCTTATTCTATAAATTGATGTCAAACTCAGTGAAATACTTGCGATGTTTTCTGTCGGAGATGATTTTCAATTTTGCCTTTCGTTTTTATTTGAATTCAATGGAATGCAAGGCATCTTGTTATTGTTTAAAATACTGTTCGACATGATCCTAGACTTCTAATGATGTTGTCTACTTCAAACAGAACTAGGTCTGAGATTTTATAAGCTTTTAGTTCTTGTTGAATTTTAACTTAATCCCAGATTTGCTGTAATCATAGAGTTTTGTTGGCTCGCATTATCTGACTCCATCTATTCGATCAGTCAATAAATCCTTCGATTTTATCTTGGCTATGTGATCTACTATGTGATTATTCAATTGAGAGAACATTCTGCTTCCTTTCAAGTTAGATTCGAGCTTCAAGGACTAAATTAAAGATAAATAAAACTGCTTACTTCTCTTAGTTTAATGTTTGTATTAATCAATGTTCTCACTTTTGTGAATCTTCTTTCCACCTATTCCTTTCTTAATTGTTGCTCCTCCTTTTGTTTATGGAATTCTTACTCCAATTAGGTTAATCGTTTCCTCTTAGTCACAGCATTCATATCCTTTACTAATTTGTTTGCAGAGTACTTCCCATCAAGAAACAATCTAAACTTCTGTAAATTGACCTTGTCATATTGGAATGCATTAGGTATATCAATAGGACAATATTTAGCCATTTCATCGCTATTCCATTTTCTCTTTTTCTATTGGATTGTCTATCTCTCTGCTTAGGGACTGTGTATTTCAGAAGGATATAGTTTAGAGTGAATAGTTGTTTGAAGTTCAGATTCTGCATTCTAGCATTTCATAATCAAATTTCGTAATTAAGTAATATAAAAATTAAATCATTTATTCAATGACATTACTTTTAAGGCATTTGAAGGACATATAACTAATATTATTGAATAAAATTAAAAACAAGTTCTGAATATGAATTATTGATAGAAATATTTATTTATTTTGTAATAATCTCAAAGATGGGTATATGTGCGCCGAAATAACTAAAAAAGACAAGAGAATATTATTCAATGCCAAAATAGCACCCACAGATCCTAGAGCCCCAAAAGCTCCAAGAGCCCTTACAGCACCACGAACAGATATATATGTTAGATAAGGAATCAAATATTTAACATATGTAGAAATATAATATTCCTCCTGATAACTAGAGCAATCATATCCAATAATAATAAATTGTTGAAAGGGGGAATTCTATTTATAAGCAAAATTAAAATACCAGTCAAATTCTAATAAGTGATGTATGTAAAAAATGCCAGAAGCACATTGGTGAAGCATAAAAAGTGGTAATTCAATCTTGTAATCATCTTTATGATATTAATTGCTTTACGGATCATTTCAAAGAACATAAAACTTGCTGTACTGAAACAAAAATAATAATAAATTAAGCAAAATATCCAAAAGCCTAGGTTAATGAAATAATGAAGCATAAATTGAAATAATTAATAGCAAATATTAAAAACAATATAGTTGTGCAATGTCCAACATAATTTTGTTCATTTTTATTTATTTACAGAAAAGAATATAATAAAAATTAAAAGAAAAAATTCTATTGCCAAAGATGTTAATAAGAGATGGTATATGATGGAAAAATGTGTAAATTTATCGATTTATAAACTGTGTAAAACGATAATAACGTAAGTGATACCTAAATATATTTAAAATTAGAAACCATTTAATTTGGATGTTAAATTTAAGATCATTTGAGAGTGTCAACTAATTAAATTATTCTGCCTTGTAATCATGATTGGTGCAAGAAATGCTTGTTTGTAAATTATAAGGATTGCCTGACAGCTGTATGTCATTGTGGTCATCGGTATCCTAAAAATATTTTTGATTAAATAAGTGATAAAGAAGAATGGAATGATATCTATGATAGATAGTTATAAATAATAATGTGGGAGTCAAAATATAGTTGGCAATTTTGTAAGAACAATTGTGGTTTCTTTTTTGAATGTAAAAATATGGACGACGATTGTTATTGCATCAAATGTGATTCAATTAAAACTTGTAACAAATGCAAAAAAGAGATTTACTCCCAATATATCTAAGTAAATTAATGCAACCACTATTACCATTTGCTATGTTCATTTAGTCTATTGATGGAGAATAATCTTAAGAATCTAAGTTGTTTGTGCAATTAAAAGATAGATAATGATATAAAAGTTGAAATGAATATCATTTGTATCATATGCTAGAAATACGAAGATAATTTGATCATGCTCTAATGTTGCCATTTCATTCACTAAGAATGTTTGGAGAACAACTTATAGGCATTTTCATCGTTTAGATGCAATGTTTGTCTAATCCCAATTGACAATATTATTTATGAACCGAGATTATTGTCTATTAGAGATAAATTAATATCGATGAAAAAATATTCTAATTAGAATAATTTACTTAAATCTGATATTGTTTTCTAGAATAAATAAGAAGCAAATTTAGTTGGCAATTAACAATTACAATAATATCATAATTAATAGGTTATAATTAACAACAATTATGGTTACAAATGATTTAGTAATCTCAATTTTCATCTATTGTCTATTTAATGGTATAGAAATATAAGATTGAATAGATATGTATTGAATTTATTAAAATATAGTTTAAACTAAATATATATATTTATAAATTTATTAACAAGAATGCCACCCAAGAAGTAACATCTCAAAACTTAATCCTCAGAGTTATCAAATTAGGCTCTTATGAATTATCTATCAAATCGTGAGGCTTTGCATGCAAGAATGTCTAATTCTCCAACATTCCAAATAGAATGCAAAGTATCAATTTATCTTTACTTAAGACCAAATAAGTTGGGCTTCACCAATCTAATCTGTTTAAATCCAATGCTTCACAACCCAATCTCACAATTACTTAATAGTAGTACTTATGACTATAGATGTAGATAAACCTAGAGGAAAGTGTAACAATAAGATTTACTCAAATCGAAAGGATTCATGTCTCCTAAGATTACTAGTTAAGAGAGAGTAAATAACAAAGCACAACCCAAATCTCGGGGTAACCATATGAAGACTCAACCTCATTCTAATCAGAGTTCCTAAATCAAAATGAAATCAGTCGAGAGCATACAAGATGACTGTAAAGTCTGAATTCTTAATCCTAGCTCCAAAATAAATGTATAAGAATCAGCATTACTCACCATCAACCAAAGCAGAATCGCTATTTAAATAGTAAGCATCTGATACAAAACAGAAACATTCATCTGATCTCTTGGCTAGATTAAATTTCTAAACATCCTTGACTGTATCTAGTGTTAAGCACAAAACTACTTAGTTTTCTGGAGCATAAATTTACTAACTCCAAAACCACTAAAAATCGAACAGTGCTTAATATATTGAGTCACAAAAATTATCTACACAAACTTCCTCATAACCTCGGCTCGAAATTCTTACTGAAAAAATTAAAACCATTACAACCAGGTATGTATTTAAATGGATTTAGAAAATTTTAATAGGATTTTATTCAGATCATCTTACAATTTAGATCTTTTAAGTAGAAAATGACTATTGATATCTCGACTAATAAAATATCACACCTAGTGGAATTAATCAAAGAAGAACTCAATAAAAAATTCGTTGATAATGATTCTCTTTCGATAATTGGAATTAAAACATACAATATTTCTATACCTATTGATTATATACTTTCTTCAATTGATAGACCCTTGTCTTTACTTTCCAATTGTCCTAATCAACCTTTAATCATAGAACCTATCTTATAAGCAGAATAAGAAAATAGATCATCAAGAGTTTGTCTAAAAGATTTCGAATTCATTAGATGTATTGGAATGGGTGGATTCTCTAAAGTATACATGGTAAGGGAAAAGAGATCAGGCCAGTTTTATGCCATGAAATTAATTGAAAAAAACTCCATTATTTCATAGAACAAACAAATTATCATCCAAAATGAAAGAGACATTATGTGTAATCTGAATCACCCCTTTATTGTTAAGATTTAATATGCATTTGAATCAAGAAGATATTTAGTGTTTGTTTTGGAATACTGCTCTGGAGGAGAATTGTTCTTCTTGTTAAGAAAAGTAATCATTTTCTTTTAATTTATTAGGTGAAGAGGATGAGTGAAGAATAAGCATTCTTTTACTTTGCTGAAATCTGTTTAGGCATGAAACACTTACATGACAGAAGCATAATTTATAGAGATATTAAACCTGAGAATATATTAGTAGATTTTGATGGGCATGTTAGAATTGCAGACTTTGGACTCTCAAAACAATTAGATTAAGAAATAGCCTATTCATTTTGTGGATCTCCAGAGTACATGGCTCCTGAAATGTTGCTGAAACAAGGACACAACTTACAATTAGATTTGTATTGTTTAGGAGCATTGCTTTATGAATTGATAACCGGATTACCACCTTTCTATTCCAGAAACACTGATGAAATTTATCAAAGAATTTTAAATTAGAAATTAAGCTATCCATAGCATGTGTAGATGTCTCCTCTTTTAAAAGAGCTATTGAATGGATTATTAGCTAAGAACCCTAAGAACAGAATCGATAAAATTGAAACTCTATTACGACATCCTTGGATGACCTAATGGGGTGATAAATACTTGTACAAAGACCTATTGTCTAAGAAGATAGATCCTCCTTTCAAACCAGATTGTTTCTCCTTCAACTTTGATGAGGAGGAGTTTGGTTAAGGGGAGGCTGAATTTTTGCAGCAAATGAAAACTCTTTAATAAAACATTATGGAGAACTTTCCTAAAGAAACTATCTTAAAAAACTTCTATTACAATCCTAAAGAGATCAACTTAACGGAAAGCACGAGAGGTACTAATTTAAGTACCAAATAATTGGAGGAGTAATCAGGAACTCAAAGATAAAAATCAAAAAGGTTCAATACATATGACGATGATATTTCAAATTATGTAAATGAATAAAAAATTTTGCTATTAAATTAGTTAAGATTATAAACTGAGAGTGAATTAAAGAGGAAATCTGCATGAATTATTAGTATTTAAATATAATATACAATTTTAGATTAAATTTTATTTTGCCTAATTAATTTAATATATTATATATATGTACTAGATGATCATATTCATTATTGTCTTCTTTATCCTCTTCTTGGTTATTTTTATTATTTTTCTTCGACAACTGGCTCATCAATGGGAATATCAATTTCTAATCCAGCCTTTTCAAGCATTCTTTTGACATCTTAATCTCCTCTAAGGTTATCGATATCAACTGAGGATTTCTCAGGAACATAATCCAATCTTCTTTCTCTTTCCTCCTCTTGAATCTAAGATTTTTTAGATGTAATATTACTTTGAGGGAGATACCCTTAACAGATCCAGTCTAAATTCTCTTTAAAAGATGTGTTGCAAATCCAGCGATTTTATTTCTCAATTTTTTTGATGGCACTTATCCCACTTCAGATAGGATTTTTTTGTTAAAGTGAAAATCTGAGGTGAGTTTCATGTAATATTTTTCGATGAGAACTTTGGCTGCTTTCTTAACTGTCTTATTTCTAACTCTTCCCATGATTTAATTTGAAAAAAATTTATATCTTTAATTTATGAAAATAAATCACAGCAAAACAATAAATACAAGTAGATGTAGGCATTAAAAACAATTACTAAAATTTATATTAAAATACTTAAGAAGACTAATTTCCATTTGCAATTGACTTCTAATAATAATTAATATATTATAAATTATGAGTAATATCGTTCAGCACAATACAAGAAATTTGACCTATTGTTTAGAATATAAGGATTCCATTTGAACAAACTTCGAATACCATAATTGAATGATAAAGCCAGAGTTTACATTGATTTACAAGAGTTAGGGAATGTCACCTAACAATCAACAGCATACTTGAATGAACACGATTAAAAACTTTTTAAAGCAACCTCACTGATATTTAGGCTTGATTTGCTTTCACTTCTGCAAAGGGATCAATATCACATTTTAGATATGATAGTACTTACTTCACTTTATTAAAATATCGAGATTAGTTTATAATTATGATTTCATTAGGTAATTAAAAAAACTCATCAATAATTATGTCAATTTCGACATCACTGGTATGGCTGGCTAGAATATCATGCATAATCTATAAATACATTTTAAACATTATATGTTGCAACATTTTAATAAATAGAGGGTTCATGTCTGTTAATTGCTTTATCCCAAAGAAGTTCATTTTGGATGAAAGAATTATGGTGGAAGCCTTGCTTGAAATTTGGTGAGAGGCAATATAGCAACCACAATATTCAAATAATAATTAGTTCAATAACAAATTAATTAAGAAACTAACTTTGGAACATGATCAAACATAATTATTATAAATTGCTTAAAATAAACGATCGTAATCCAAACATATAGCAGTTTAGAAAAACAATTAAATGTCACAGTCATTCTGAAGTGAGTGGTAGATGAATCTATTGCTGAATGATTAAGTTCAAAATTAAATACCAAGAGTATCCTGTAAGTTTGATTAAATAAAATTAGTAATTTAATAATATTATTTAGACTCCCAATATTAATTTGGAAATTATTCTCTATTAGTGATCCTTACTCAATCACTCATGACGGATTTTTAAAGGTATTGGAGAAGTCCTATGGTTAATAAAAATTAAACATTGAAATACAGATAACAAGTAAATAGAATTAATAGTTCTTAAATTCGATTTTAGGGATGAAAAATACTTATATTTAAAATAGAAAATCATTAATTTTAAATGAACCAACTTAAAGAATAACTTTTGATGTAGACCTATACGATGATAACTCAGTTACTTAGATTGAAATAGGGATTGATAAGGAAAGAAATAATATAATTTAATATATATATTTAAAAAAACGAATATATGATAGTTGTTTTATTAATCAGTGTAGCATTTAGTGCAGAAGTTAAGCTAAAGATGGAATCATCTCCTAAGGATATAAGGAGGATAAATGGGAGAGCTGAATTTGATTGTATGTGATAATAATTGAATTAGTTACACAGCATAGGAATACGAAGCAACCTGTCAATGTGAGTCTACTACTACATAACTTCACGTTGGGGAAACATTCTGTGATCCTACTAAGGTTTAATTACATTAAGACTTTGCTGGAGATGATGGGAAAACAGCATCGTTTGAATAAATCCGTAATCTGATAGGACCTCTTAACGAATTATAATTTGGAGATCCTAACAGTTATCATTTTTCATGTTTGGATGGAAGAAATGAAAAAGGAGTATTAGGAACTCCAGGGGGTGATTTTGGTGAGTTCTTGTTAGCCTTATCAGTGTATGAATAAACAATCCGTACTCCGTTGGCCTAAGATACTGTAGATAGCATTTTTAGCAATTATTTACAGTACATGAAACAAGAAGGGTTTTATATGTGCACAGATGATGATGCTCTGAAGCATTTAGAGAAGGAATTAGGAATGACATTGACTGTTGATGCTTTAATTGATCCACCAAATTCAGTAACCATTTTTTTATATTTTAGTTTAAAAATGATCTCTTAACCTCCTTGTTAAAATCAGAAAACACTGGCTGCATGCATTTGAAGAGTATTTTAAAGAACCCTGAAAGTTATGACATGAGACCAGAATTAGCTGGATATTTAATCCGAACTTATTTTACAATATTGTGGAATAAGAGTAACCCTTTGCATCACAAATTGATACTTGAAGTAATGGCAGGCAGACATGAAGAGAGAGCATTTCTCGAAGTTAGGATCAATGAAGCATGTATAAGATAGAATATGGCACCACTTCTGAGACCAAAAAGAAGAATTACTTTGGCAAGTGTTCCTCAAGGGGATACATCAACTACATTTCATGAAGGTGGAACCACTGAAATATTTTAAGCATATGTTAATCACATTGATGCTGCATCAATTAGAAGAAAAGTATTACTCTTCAAATAAGTATCATAGGAATTATCCAAATTCTTTGCTGAGAATTCTAATTTAAATGGAGTTCATTTTGAAATTGATGTTATGCATCATCGGTTAAATAAAAAAGGATTAATGTACCTTGAAATTACTGGATAAAAAGTTGCAAGATATTTACCATTTTATACTGTTACAATTGTTTGATATTAATTTGAATAAATTATCTATGATATTCTTATTACCACTAATTATTCCCTTATTCGATAGAATTCTTTATGTTTATACTCGAAATGAATTGAAAAAATAAGTTAAAATTATCTTAAATAGAATCTATTTTATAATTAGAGCAGTTTAGAAATATTCATTAATTTCAAGAGGGAGTTAAATTGTATGGAAATTTGAGCCAGATTTCTAGATTCAAGCATTTAATTTATTTTTATAGAGTTTAAATTATAATAATTATTTAATAAAATGGACCATGCACGCATTCTAAGTTTTCTAAACTCTTTACAGAAATAAGCTTGTACTCAATAAATGGATAATGCACAATGTCCCAAGGAATCTTTGAAGAGTTTATATGAGAAATTCACGAAAGAATATTCATTGCAAAGAGCTAGGGTAAGAAATTATGGGATTATTAATTTAGACCTTGAGTAGAGAAGAGAGGGTGGCCAATCATTTGACATCCAATTCTCTTTCGTATGGGGAAATAGTAAGTAAATATGCTTAAAACAAAAGGAATTCACATCTTTATCTGTGGTCTTCCAATAGGTTTCACCAAAGAAAGGGGGAGTCTTTTATGATTTAGGCAGTGGCATTGGTAAGAGTGTGATTGCTGCATCATTGATGCATTAATTCGATATTTGTAAAGGCATTGAATTTTTGCATTCTTTGCATGAGCAAGCTTGCAAACTAAAGTAGGAAGTGGAAAAACAGAAATCTCTAATTGAAGAAGAAATGGAATAAATTGGAATTAAAGATTATCATTAACCCAAAATCGAATTTATCAATGGAGATTTCCAAGAGGTATTATTAAATTCACGAAATCAAGTTGGATTGGAGTGATGGCACCTTCTTGTTTGCTTCAACTACTTGTTTCGAACCAGATCTAATGAACCAATTGAGTAAAAAGGCTGAAGATTTGAAGGAGGGATCTTATTTCATTACTGTTACTAAAACACTGGAACCCTAGACTTGTTGGGATCTAATCAAGTCTATTTAGGTGTAATTGTCTTGGGGGTTAGCTACAATTCACATTTAGCAAAAGAAAATGAATTAGATTTAACAATAATAAAAATAATTATGAAATAATCTCATTCCAAAAAGAATCTAACCAGCAGTCTTTACATAGCTAACAATTAACATACAGAACTAATCGATTACCTTAAACAAGAAAATAAGCAATTGACTGAGTAGTTGAATGAATTGAAGGGATTGCTCTAATTAAATAAAAAGGCATTGAGAATTATGACACCACAACATAATGATGAATAAAATAAAGCTTTATTGATGGTTATGAAAAACTTGTAAGAAGAAAATGCCAAATTGCATAATCAAATTGATAAACTCATAGAAGAAAGGAACCAAGCATAAAATTAAGTATTAATAAATTAATAAATCACTGAAGAGGCTTAACGACATGAAAAAGAATTAATCTTATCATTATAGAATAAAATCTTAACTTTATAAAATAACCTCAATAAAGCTGAATAGTAATTAAGCAAGATGGAATAACTCAAACCTGAATATGATGAAATATCAGGTATTCTCATTAAATACAAGGAAATTTGTGAACCTGACAAAATCACTATCAAACTTCATAATCAAATAGAAATGCTAAAAGCTGAATTGATAGATTAGCTTAGGAAGAACAAACTCATTGAAGCTGAAAAATACAAACTATAAGGATTTAATTTAGTATAATATTGTCACTATTGATTTAGAAACTAATGAGTAATCTAGTTCAAATGAAGAATACTGCTATGACATATCATGGGAATAAACTAATTATTCAATAATAACAGACCAATTAAGGAGCTGAATAATTGATTAAATGTAATCATAATATTATTAACTTAGTCTAAAATAATTTATTAAATGTGATTAACAAAGAAGAAAATGAAAATTCCTCTGAAAATGACGATCACTCTTCAGTTGGTAGTTCACCCTTGATGTCACCTCTACCGTTGAAACAGGAGAATTAAGTGGCTAAATAAATGAAGGAAGTTCCTAAATTAGATCTCACAAAGGCAAAATAAATATAGGAGATAAATGCTATAAGACAGATCTAATAGATGCAGGATATGAAAAAGTAGATAGACCCTAATATTGCTGAAAAAATCAATAAGTATGAGAGAATGCTGGAGGAATTGAGGAAGAACTATTAAAGAGAAATGTTATTAAATAAAACTCTTGAGACATCAAATAATGAATTGCAAAGAAAATGCGATGATTTCGAAGTATATCAATAGTTATACTTTAGAGTTAAATCTAAATACTCATAAATTCAAACTTAAGACATCAAGAGAAATTATAGAAAATCAATAAACAATATTATTTTTTACAACAGTTTTACATCAATAACAAAGATTAAGTGACCACAACTCAAAGTCATAATCGAAGATTTTCCTAAAGTCCAACAGAACTTTCACAGGAAATGATCTTGGATACTTCTTTTATTGATGCAAACGAAGCCATAATATCGAATGAGTTCCAAGAACAAAAATTCATACAACAATAGATGCTACAATAACAATAGTAGCAATAACAAGCTTAGCAATTCTAATAATAAAACTTCTACTCCCTTTATTCTCCTATTAACATTGAAGATTCCAAAAAGTTTCTGTTGGGTCTTGCTGAATTAATTTATTGTGGATTGTAGGAGAAAATAGAATAGATGCAGCCATAATCATAAGAATAATAGGATTGCCAAGAAAAGAAGCAATAGAAATTCAGATCTATTAGTGACATAATCGATTACCAACACAAAGGACTTTAAAAATATAATTATTTGTAACAATAATGATATGTTTATTTCTCTTACAAATAATTATTATATATGATGATTTACATTTAAATCACTTAATCACTTCTTTCTGTATATTGTAATTTCCTATTATTTGAAGTATCTCCTATCATCTTCATCAACCAAAATCAGATTCAGAATATATTTGACACTGAATTTACCACTAACATTTTTGACCGATGGCGTCACATCCACTCCACTTAGATACAATCTTATTGGAATCACTTCTCCCTTCTAAGGACATCCGTCCATTAATTCGTATTTGACTAGTGTCTCATTGTCTGTTTATTGCTGAGGTCCTTATCCATATTGTTCTTTTCTGATCACTGCCAATTCCATGTATTTGATTTTGATTTTGACCAAATAGAAATTCACTTTGCCAGTCACTACATCTCTTAAGTGATATCTGCTCTTAAAATACTCAAAATCAATATGCAAACACTCTTCAATACCAACCTATTTTGTCAATGTCAATTTGTACTTCCAACTTCAATGAAGTTTATGGTTATTCCTCCAATTCTGGTTGTGGAATCAAAACAGCAAAGTCCACTTCCTTCTACACTTTGCCATAACTTCTGACCATATACACTTTCAAATAATATCTTAATCTCACTGTGTTTCCATAATAACTTTCGTATTGTTTCTCAAACTTCTAAAATTAAAATTTATATGTTTTGTCCTCAAACAAAAACCCTTATGGTTCTAATTCTCGAGACATTGACATGAAATCCGAACTTTATTTTTGATCATTGAGAATTTCTTTTATTCATAGATATATAAATACTTACCTATGCGTCCAATCAACTCAACTCGAATTCCTAGATGCTCTATTTTTTTTTGCTTGTTCATCCTTACTTCGATTACTCCTGATATATCATCATCTCCCTAATTAATAAAATTTATTCAATATCAAATACAGAATAGACGGGTAACTTCAAAGCTCCCAATTGTTTATCCTGAAATCTTGTGTTCTTGCGTGTCTCTATGCCATCCAATGTCACATCAATTATGGGTTGCCCTTAAACCATATTTAGAAGAGAAGCCTAAAATATGTGGAATTGAAATCCTTACCATTATATGCTAATTATTTAATTATATAAATTATTAAACTATAATCACTAATTCTAATCATCACCAAGTATCTTTGAAATCTATCACATCATCTAATACCCATTAATCTTGTTCTTTGATATAGGGATTATCATCGTTTTATAAATATACTAAATTTAAATCAAACAATTCATATTTCATCATAGATTTTCTCAAAATAGTCATTAGATCCATGTTGTAATAATCAATTTTAACTTATTATTATTAAATATTACTTCTAACATCCTAATATATCCTTGAATTTCTCTAAAATTGTTATTTTGTAGATATCACAATTTTGATATTGAAGCTCTAATTAATGTCTAAGAGAAAATGATCCTAATAAGGATTTAACTATATATTAAATACCTTATAATAACTCATTAAAATTGTCTATATGACAGAAAATGTATATAATTTGATTTCAGATTTTGAGAATTTGTTAATATGTATAAATTGTATTTAATTTAATATCCATCAAATAATCAATTGTAAAAATCATGTAATTTAAATATATAAAGTAAAGTTCATCATTTTTTTCTTTAGTTCTACGATATAATTGCAAAGTTAAGATATTATTCATTAATCATGATATCCAATTAATTCTATTTGTTTTTAAGTAAAGTATAATATTTGCATTCTAAATTATAATCAAATAGCAATAATTAAATAGATTTTAAATGATGAAACCACAGATAGATTTGAAATTTTGATTTGAAAACACCTATAATTAGGGTGATTTTATAAAAAATATTTTCAAATATAATGAATAAATAACATATTCCAGCGAAAGCATAAGAAAAAATATTTGCTTTGATCCTGAAACGACCAGAGAATTTAGTGTGTGCTGATTGTCTCACAAAAGGTCCTACATGGGTTAGTTTGGATTATGGTGTATTTATTTGTATGGATTGTGCAGGTAGATTAGTTATTGTTATTTGATAGGTGCTCACAGAACTTTGGGTCCCAGTGTTACGCGAGTAAGATCAACAAATATAGATGGGTGGTATTAAGAAAACATTGATATTATGGAATCTATTGGAAATGCAACAGCAAACTCCTATTGGGAAAATACAAAGCCTAAGGATTATGTGTAATATTAATTTTAATTTAGCAAACCAACAATTAATACAGGCTTGGATTCTTTAATTCGATTTGTCTAAGAAAAATATGTCAAGAAGAGATTTATACCACAGTAATAATGTCTTGATCCAAAATAATAATATATGCTAACTAAAACGTATTCAAAATTTAGTAACCACTTAGTGCTGTTAAACCTTTCTACTTTAGAGCAGAAACCAAATAAGAAGAACCAAAAGTGAAATTAGGTGATTTGATTGATTTAAACGAGTAATTCGACAATTTTGGTTCTTAAGACATTAAAATGGAAATAGTCCATGGTAATAACACTTAGTATGGAACTACTCATTCTTTATCACCAGAAAAGGACAATACAGATTTTAATCAAACCAAATAACAAGCTAATCATGTAATGCACTCATTGCCATCTCTAGATATACTGAATCTCTATAAGCCAGATTAATAATAGAAATAATAAATGCCATCATAACAAACCATTCCTTAAAAGAATGCTAATTATGCTTACTTACAAAATTTAGGATAGCAATAATAATACAATTATCAGTAATACTAAAATAATAATACTTATTTCAATTAGCAGTAGTAACAATAATAATAATAATAATTCTAACAAAACCTATTTCTATAACAATAAACCAATCACACATAATAATAATAATATAAATAAAATGGACCCATCAACATTATGGAATTGTATTAAAGATGAAATTATACAAAAAAACACAATTAATTAAACAAAACAATATAATTTTATCTTAATATTCATAGCACATTTATAAATTATCCATTTCACAACATCCCAATAATTATTTTATCATAAATATCACTTATTTTTTAATTCTCATTATCATTTACAATTTCTTAAACATCCATATATTTTCAGTTGATTTCATCAACAAGAACATCATGATTGATATCTGTTGTAGAAGGTCAACTATAATGTGGTTGTAATTATAAGTCTAGTTTCAGTGTTTTTCTCTATGCTATTCAAAATTTAATAGTAAATACACAAAATTTATAAAATCTAGTTTTTATGAGTTTTGAACCTTATTAAGAAACGAAGAAGAATGTGAAAGTTGCACCTATAAAAATAGTGTAAAACTAAAATGAGATGAATGTCTCTTAAAATCAGATGGCAACATATCCTCAACTTAATTTATAATTCCCATTTCATAATAGATGCACAAATTATAAATAATTCACTCCTGCTGTTACGATTCCATTAAGCTTTTTACAATAACTCATTTAATAGGCGTAATCGAATAAGATATTAAATCAATTGATTGAACCAAAAATACCATTTGTAAAACAAGAATAATCAGAAGCTGTTAATAACCTCATTACATAAATATAATATTAAAAATTAGAAAATATTAAACAGCAAGATGGTAATGCCTATGCTTATAATTAGAAGATACGCAAATTAAAATGTATTTGATAAAAAGTTAAATGAAATTTATAATTGAAGATTTTGTATCCAAGGAGAGAGTGCAACTTTATTTTGCTGACAATGAAAACTTATTACCTCATTTCTGGAAGTGGATTAAATCCATTGAATTAAAAGGCTAAGAGGAGATGCTAATTTTGTGTTACACAAACCCTTCAAACACTAGGAAGATTTAAGATATTTTTAAATAATTATTTCAAACATTATCAATCGAGTTTTACTAAAACCATGCTTATGCTCAAATTCTGAGATCCAATCTCTAAGATAAAATTAGATACTTATCGGCAATAGGAGATATCTTAAATAAAATCATCAAGCCATAAGATTATTTCTATTTTAATAATGCATGATAAATAAGGAATTTTGTTATCATATTAGAAATATAAAATACACTCATATCATTTCCCTTGTTATTTCTCTTCCTCCTCCTCACTAATCTGGAGCAAAGGATTCGATGTCTAATATTCATCAATTCCTCCTCTCTAAAAATATATTCCATATAATTACATAATCTTTTTTCCCTTTTTTTTAATTTAGCGTAATTATAACATCCCTCAATTAATTTTGATGGAATCTTTATTGTTCTTCATTTAAATAAGGTTTATGAGAAGTAGTCTTAAAATAAGATGTGCTTTAAGCTCCAGTAGATAGTTGTAAATCCCATATTTCGATCAAATCTATCTAAGACTAAAACTGAATAATACATTAAGTAGGTGAATATCATTTTGTAATATTGGTCCACTCTCAAAGGTCTTGTCATCATCTATCAATCTACTTGCTTACAATTGCTTTCCATTAATCCAAATCCTGTGTTATTCATATCCGCTTCCACCTATACCTAATCCAGGTTCCTTTGGCCCTTGATTAAATTGAGAATTGAGTTGTTAACTCTATTTTTTAGTAATGATTGGCATTATTAAAGCAAACTTACTTTATTGTTAGCCATTTGTGGAGAATATTTGAAATTTGGGATGAACAGAAAAGATGAAGGTACTTTTACTTCCTGATATATTAGGAGACACTCTCCACTGGGAAGGAGAAAAATAGCCAAATATGTATTTCTCTACTTTATCCCTATCCTTATCAATTTAGAGATGACGAAACAAAATAACGTTTGGCCCCCTTGCTTACAATAGAATATTTCCTAAGATATTAAAAGTATAATTGGCTCCACTTTCGACTTCAAATCTGTATATTTAGTTTACCGATACGCATTTATTAAACCAAGGAACACTTAGATTTAGAAGAGCTGCATTAAAATGATACAGATAGTATACCAATTAATTATTTATTCATCAACTCGCTAGATTCTAATTTAGGCATTGTATTTCTTAGTATCTTATTAATGAATTTACCAGCTATATAATTCTTAACAATTTTTGATATTTAAGGAGTCTCTTATTTAATTTTATCATTAAAGACTTTATAGTTTAGGATAGAGTGATCTAAAATTAGAAAGTTAATTACTTTCAAAAATATTATTGACTAGTAAAATAGGTGCCTAATCATCGTCATTGCATAATATATCACCTTTATGACTTTGCATATTGATTGGTTCCTAATTAATGATAGTCACGCACTTACTTTAAATAATTTGACAGCATTAGAATAACTTATAGATATTTTAAAAACATTATTAAAATCAAAAGTCTCTTTGTGCATTATCTCAGAACTTGATAAAGATACCAAAATAAATAAAATGTAAATATATAAGTTCTTTAGTTAACTCTACAATTTCATAGAAGATCTTGTGAATAAATCAACTATGCTCTAGAGAAAATGAATTACTAACGGTAAGAAATGTATTTAAGTCAACAAAATTTTAACCTCCATAATTTCTCATGAAAATATATAATTTTTAAGCAAATACTGGGTTTTCAGTAAAGTACATTTTAAAACCTTCATAACTAAAATATTGATCTGTTTTCTTTTAATAAAATTGTAAATACCCTGGTTTTTACTGAGTCATTTAGAAAACCGTTTGATTGCATGGTGATAATCAGTTGAGGAGAATCCGATTTTCTCTTTGATTTCCTTATCTCTTGATCCACATCCCCCCATAGAAATAACAATAATTAATTTATAATATATTTGTTCCTAATCGTAAATCAATTAAGTAATTGGAGTAATCATCATTTAAACTAATAGAGAGTACTCTATGCCAATGAAGAACATCCATCATCCTCCTACTCTGGAATGGCTATGATATAAATACACAAGATAATTACCATTCATGTATGAATCCACTTGATTTTGTTTGGCTTCTTATGAGGCTTATTTGATTTCCAGTTTGATTGAAGCCAAAGCCTTTGATAGATCATTCTTTTTAGAAGTCATACTAAAATCAGTATAACACAGAGGTTGTTTATTTTCTACCGACTTTGTTAATTGATGCTCAAAATCATGATATGTATTTTATTCTGATCTATAGGATTGAGTGATTGATTATTATTAATGTGTCTAATATTATTGTGGAAGAGCTTGTAATTTTTCTCTGGATACTAACCTTCTTTTCTTGCTATAATTTAATATTTACATTTAAAGAAGACTCTCGCTAAGGTACGTCAATTACCTCAGTCCAATTAAACTATTTAGTGTTCGTTCCTGCACTTGATACTTTTTATTTGCTATTGTTTCTTGACTAAACATCTCCAGTCATGGCAGGTCTCCCAGAACTCCCAATTTATTCATGTCTTGCAATAATGATCTTTTTGTCAATGCGAATTGGAGGCTTTGCTTATTTTTGAGGACTTTTCTAAATATGAAAATCTAATTGGTAATTACAATCTGAAGCAATTATTATTAATTCTATGTAATACTGAGGGATGCCTTGGAAGAATGCTAACTATTCTAATTTGATTTAATAATCTTCTGTTGAGGAATTTACTGCTCATTATTATTGGCATTGATAACCAATCTTTATTTTTGACTTCCTGAAAAGAGTGGCTTTCTTGGAGGCAAAGGTGACTTTACAGTCGACATAGGTTGTCCTGATCCAGGTCTTTTTCTCTCTACTTCCTCAATTGCCTATTTAAAAACATCAGCATCTGATTTCATTCTCCCATTAGAAAATTGCCTTTTCACTATTGACATTATAAAATATAATAATTAATAATTATTAGCAACTAAAGAGTTTCTAAAATTTTACTACATGAATTTGAGAATCACATATAATTCAGAAATATTGGGGATATCTTCTACCAAAAAAAAGTAATTTGATCAAAAGATTCAAGTTTTATAACTTTTTAAACTTATTATTAAATATACATATAATCAATTCACACTATGATTTATTTAATGAAATTAATAATACTGATCACACACATTGGAATGATTGCTAGATATTGCATTTATTTATTTTGCTCTTTACTTACGTCATTCAAAATGTATGTGAATTCAAATAGACAGAAAATACATGTAGCTAAAATAGTGCATTGCCAAATCACAGTGATAGTGTAGTCGGTTATTAGTATAATTATGTGGTAAAAAAATGTAAAAATTAGTAAGGATGTTACCCAAAACCAATTGAAATGGAATTGCAATTGGATTAGTGTAGCAATCTCTGTGTAAATAATAGCAATGTAGTATAGAATGACTACAGCTACCCATTTCTTGGATCCTTGAGTATCATCACTCAAGCCAGGGATGATAAAAATCAAAAATGATAACAGCAAAATTTCCCATGTAAACAGTGGGAATGCCACTAGAATGGAGTTCTAATTAATAATTGAATCCAACTGCAAACAAAGAAGTAGGGCAAAAACTGGCAGGAGTCCAAAAGTGGAGTGTTAGGCTATTCCTAAGAACACTTTAGCTATTCTTGGATATTGCTATTAAACTATTAAAATAAATATTCAGTACATAACCATATAGTAGTCAAGATCCAGATGAAAGTGTCACAAATAATGAAAACTATTGCAATATAAGTCCACTATATCTAGTACTCTATTCTAAGAGCCAACATTTGAAATATTAAGTATATCGAAAATGCTATCGATATGCGTATACACTTAAATTACTTCTCGTCTGACCTTCTAGTAATTTCAGATTCTGATCCCTGAAATTCATCTCTGTAATTATCATCCATTATTCGTTTTTTTAATATTATATATTATTATTTATGATTATGTTTTCAATCTAATCTATACATTAAAGCCAATTTCATTATGTAGTCTCAACCTCTCTCTTTTGGTAGTTTTTTTAATTCTGATCATCATGACAAAAGCTCTCTTCATACTATTTTTTAATTAAAAACGATATAAGCAAAAAACTGAAATTATAAACTCAATAAATATACCAATTTTTATTTAACCTTATAAACCAAACTCAAATTCTCTCCATCCAGACTTTTCCCTCGAACATCAATAAGATTCCACATAAAAGTAGAAATTGATGTGTTCATAGAAATGTCCACATTTCAATTTTTATATTTTTTAATAACTTAAATATTAAATTGCAATAAACAATAAATAAATAACAACGTCATATCACTTTAACTTTCCCAGATCAATATCCCTCTTGCACACTGGACAATGCTTCTCTCTAGACAGCCATTCCGAAATGCATTCCTTATGAAACACATGACTGCATTCTAATTGAATTTCAACAGGATTTCCACTTTCTTCCAAGCATATTGTGCAACTAAAATGTTAGTAACCAATTGCTATACCAATCAACAGCTTGGTTTCGAATTGTACATTATTTGAGGAGGATTGATATTTGATTTTCCATCAAACCTCTACTTACAAAGCCCATTTTCTCTTATAATTCTTATAATTATTCATAACTCATTTCGTCCAAATCAACATTATTTTGCATTCTATACAATATAACAGTATTTATACTGGATTAAACGATTTTAGAATTCCATCTCTTCTTGTTATTGGAGTATAAGGGCAATATGGAGAGATTTCTCTTCTTCATTCATTTCTTCTTAAAATTCTTATTAGGGCTTTTCAACTGAAATTATTTCTTGATTTTCTTCTTCGATTTGGAGACTCTACTTTCCTTTTAATTGTAATTCCAACTCCTAGATCCTATCCTTCAATTCAATAATGGTATTCTTCAACTCATCATTCTCTTGGCGCAATTCATTTATTAAATCAGATTTTGATATTTGTTTGTATTGAGATCTTTAAACGTGTTAGGTAGGCATCTTGAATAATTTATCAAAGACTTCCTTCTATTCTGTAACCGATTTTAATTAGCTAACCTTAATTGGGCAGTCCATTCCTTTGATGTTTTAACAATAAATTTATTAATAATTTAATCAAATACAAATTTAGAGTTTTAAATTGTGCGAATTAAGATTTCATGAATTATTAAGAATAAATTTCATTTTTACAATGATTAAGCTAAATTACAGAACAAATGAGATGAATGTTGTGCTCATTTAAATGAATGTATAATCAGACTACATTTTATAATATTTTAATTTAGTATTATTATAATAATTATTATAATTATTTAATATTAATTTCTTATGGTGAAATAGAATTAAAATAGAAATGAAAATGAATAAGGTTATTTCATTAATTTGATAGACATTTCTTTGCTTTCCTTACATCATTGTAAAATATATCCTTTGGGAACTTTTTGGTAGATTTGATCTTAGTGCATTGAAACCCAAAGGAAAATTTCATATAATCCTCTTGTTTATTTAAATTAAGTTAACTAATGTTATTAAATGAATTGCTATTACTCTAATTTGGTTGAGTGAAAATCTTATATTTATTTAATTGTCGATTATTTAAATTATTTCGAGTCGGTATAACTTATTGATTCATTTCTTTGTTTTTGTTGACTATCTTAACGAGATCCTTCATAGGAGAGCCTGTCTTTATCGTTGGCATAAGAATTAATTACTAATATTTGGGACATAGAATACTTAGATAATTGTAAGGTTTGAATAATTATTAGTCTTCGAAATCGAGTTTAATGTACTATTTATTGTGTCTATCCTAAATATCTCTTTGTACTCTATATATTGTATATAAAAAACCTTGTTTGATTCAATTTAACTGCTCTGAGTCTGTTAATCTTATTTGTTGAAATCTTATTTAGTGTGCTCTAACTATTTCTTTGGATTGCATTGTTTCCTTATGTAATTGAATATTTATCTACTTAATAGGGAGATCCTGTTGTTTAAGTTAGTCGATCTGTCAGCATCGGTTTTATTTCTTTAATGAGATTGTCTGGATTAAGAAGGTCCGTTGAGGTCTTGTACATCAATGGATGGTTAATAGTCATGATTTGTGTTTATCTTGTTGTCTAAGTATAGAAATATTCGATAAACTTTGAAAGAGAGAATGGTCTTTGGAGTGACTGGAGTTCTTGTGTGTTAGATTTTGGTACAAGCTAAAGGGTGAATGTCTACTTCTCGACTTGGTGGCACTTTAAGCATTTCTATTGTCTTTGCCAATTACTATATCATGAGAATGTTGTTAATACATAATTATAATTAAATTCACTATTCTTATTTTGGAATATACGCAACAATATATTGAAAAATAATTAACTTTTATACATATAATGGATACACAGGAACGTCAAAATTTGTTTATCTTGCATCCCTATCCATTCAATAGAGATGCAAAGTTCAAATATGTCGAAATAAGTTATTAGCCTTCGTTTAGTGAGTATTGATTTCTCTCTAATTTATAAGAACCACAAAATGTATGATGGAAACCATACCAATATTTAATAATGACATGGATCCAGCTCAACCTGGATTTATACCTCTTATTGATTAAGTATGAACTAATTTGATTTAGCCTCTTCATCTCTAACATAATGATTAATATCAAAACTAATACTAAAAAAAGTATTAGGAATTGACCTAAAAAAACAAAGTGCTCGTATGTATATTCATTAAATTCAGCACTTTCCCAAACCCAAAAGCCAGTCAAAATACTGCAATGTTTGCAAACAACATTACGAAGATTATTTAGATGTATTACTTCACTTAAATTAGCATATTAAATCAAAAACACATAAGTCTCAATTTACAAAAAATCAATACATCAAGAAAATCACCACACTAGCCAAAGAAGCCCAAGAAAAGGTAGTAACAACCATCGAATAGCAAGAATCTACTGAAGTCCAACCTAAGAAAATGAAAAAAACTAAACTTAATTGATGACTTATAATTATTATTACTCATTTCATATAATTTTCTTATTAAATACATTTATGGAACCTTCACGTTAAGTCTTTGAAATTTCTTCACGTTGGGATGTAACTTACAATAAAAAACTATTTTAATTCTCTACTCCTACTCACTTCCAATCTTATTCAATAATAGTGTTTTTGTTATGAGATCCTTCTCTTTAGGTTTCCAGTAGAACATTTGTAAAAGTTTCTCCAAAATCAAAAAAGAGAACTGCTATTTAATTATTTATTTCTTAATGTTAAAATTCCTTCAAAATAGAGATAATCCCAGGATCAAAAGAGGACAAGATTTTATGCGTTTTGAGAGCAATAGTCATCTGCCCAATAATAAATAATTTAATAGTCCTATCCATCAAGATGTCCTTATACATCATGATAAGCCTCAATATTACGTAACTAAGAAATTACCTCCTATTTCCATTTACAATCCCTTAGTATAATTAACTGACAAAGTGGATCGACCTGAATATATTGTCAAATAAAAAGAAATATATCACTCTCGCTATATGGACGAGTACTAATAAAAGGGCTTCAAAAAAAAGTAAGGAATTTTCGAATCATTCCAACACTTACTGAACTTAAATCATATTTTGATTAAAGGTGTGCATCCTGATAAAAAGCCTCTCTCCTTTGCAGCCCTAAAAGAACAACGATAAAGGAATTATAAATCTGTGAACCAAGATAAATAACTATCGTCCAGGAGTAAAGATAATTCTAAGGTTCACTAAAGTAATTTAGACAGTAGCAGATCACATGTAAGCAGTTATAATAAGAAAAACAATTATTATGTATCAGAATAAAGTAAATTAAGGACTGAGAATAAGAGTATTCAAGTGAGTTTAGAAAGAATGGATAGATCGAGCAAAACCGATTAATCTATTGAGTTTAGACCAAAAATAATACAATCTTTTTTGATTAGGTAAGAAGAGGAGGCAGAGAAAGAGAGATAGATGCGTTAATTAAGCATTTTTGATAAGAAGATTAAAGAAATTAGAATTCATTAGGACAAATATGGCAAAAGGAAAATGACTATCGAATAGAAATCTGAATGATTAGACAATTTAATAAAAACTCTACTTTGAATTATTTAATTAATATATTTTTTCTTAATTTGCATAAATGAATGCAATATAGCCACCATAATAACAAATCTAATAAAACCCATAGCAGCAAATACCTTAATATCCAAATTATCCTCCTCCTGAAAATCAAGTTAGATATGATCCGAGAACTGCAGCAACATTTTTAAATCCAAAATCAATTTAGAAAAAAGCTAAATTTTGTCCAATTTGTGATTTTCCTGCAAGCGTGAGAGTTGTAATAAATCCTTGCAAACATTTTATGTGTTATGAATGCTACTACATAGATGGTTAAACATTTTGCAAATTCTGCAATGATATTGTAGTATCAGTCAAAAGATTGGATGACACAGAGAAATTTTATTCTTGTGATCTTGATACATGTTTTAAGTATAATTATTTTCATTAATTCCAGGTATTTTGAATCTGAATAATAATTGGATGAACATAACACATAACATGCTATATTATTAGGTTGATTTTATATATTATATATATTAAAATACATTATTTTAATTATTTTTATATTAAATCCAATAATTATTATAAATTAACAGGGTACTCATCTGTATACTATCATTGGAAGAGGACTTATGTAAAAATAATAACCATATTAATTTATTATTGATATATCATTTAAACTCCAAAAGAATCTTTCCTTGTCCACGAGTCTGTGATTAGAGTTTGTAGAGTTCCTCACCTGAAATATCTTATGGTTTAACAATCTGATATATGTCTGATTTAAAGACTGTGTCTAATTTAGAGTTGATGTAGTTAAAGGCGACCTCCTTTTATTATCTTGTTAATGAAGTATAGTAGTTGTGCATCCAGAATCCTTCGACAGATTTACCATTGAAAATCAACTAATTGGGATTGATCTTTCCTATGTATGCTGCAGTTGATGATCCGTAATTCACTAACACACTGTTTCCTGGCAATGATGTCAAGATAGTCCCGGCCTTATCTCCTGAAGTTGAATCAAAGAATATAGTCTTATCTTTGATGTTCTTCTGGACATTTGAAATGAGATTCTCGTCATCCAATATCGTATTGACATAGTCCTTGTTCTCCTTTGAAATAGCCCAAACATCCTTTCCCAATTCCTTAAATAATTTGATTCCTTGGATTGCAGTGGAGGATCGAGCAGATGAAAATAAGATACTCTTAAATTACTTGGCTCTCTCTTGGAACCCGAGAACAGTGAATGGATTAATTATGGCCATACTGCCTTGAATTTCATTTGCCACTTCATAAATATCATTTTCATTTGCAGCAACATACTCTGCCCAACTTCCCACTGATCTGGCAGGCAGAAATGCTACCAATTTACCTTTTTGTTTTCCTTCAACAACTTCGCCCACTCCTTCCATTCCCAATTGAGTTGGGAGAGCCTTCTTGATTCCATAGATACCTAAGGAGTAATAGATATCTGATGGGTTTACAGGGGCATATCTCACCTTAATGAGAACTTAGTGTGATAATAGTGATGGTTTAAGAACCTATTACCAAAGTGGTTTGGTACCATATTTGGATATGACGAATGCTTTCATTTAATTAATTAATTATTTTTTATTTTAATACGGATTATTAATCAATATTATAATAAATTTTATAATATTCTACAGTTTTAAATAAAGATTATGAAACGGGCTATTTTTATATCTAGATTAAAATCACTAAAGTACAATTAATTAACATCAAAATATAATCAATTTTGCATATTTATCAATTATTTTTTATATCTGACTTGATGAGTTTTATCAAGGTTTTATTATATCTAACGTATGGTCTATCTGTATTCTAAATCTATCGATTACTAAACTAAGGTGAGTATTTTGATTCATATGAATTGGTTTAACATCTATTCACTTTGTTTATAGGTAAATTTGGTAGAAGTGTTGAATTTCTATGATTTCCTATTATGGACAAAGATTAAGGAGTTGTTACTTAATAATTTATTGTATATGCCTTCCTTCTTTGTACAAACTATTAAACTTCAGGTGGTTTTCCTTATAAAAAGTTGATCATCTTCTTGTCTAATTATTTAACTTTTTTCTCTTTTGTTGACTCTATTTTCTATTTAGGTTGTTATTTAATTATTATTTATTTTGGAGGAGTCTTGCAAGATGGTGGTCTTTCCAAATAATCATATTCTAAAATAAAATTTAATCTTACCAACCAAAGATTCTTATTTCGATAATTTTCTTAAAAGACTTGGCTTTTAAGTGGTCCTTTTTCTTTTTTTTCTCTCCAATATATCAGCAAAACTTGTTAATGCAAATCTTTATCCATTAATTTACTTATGTTCTTCAATAGATGTTGGAAGATTCTCCATTTACTTTTATGTCAATTCACCAAAGCATTCACCATAGGCTGATTTTCTTCTGCTTTATTGCTGTTGTCTAATTTGATTTATTTTCTCTATGGCCTTTTTTAATGGTTTTAAATTTATAAACTTTTTAGTTTGCTTTTACTTATCTGTTACCAGAGGTGTAAGTTCATCTTATTCGCGATCATCACGTTCTTTCAACAATCTTATCAAATGTGAGAGCGAACTCTTTTTTGCTGTTTTCCTTAGATCCCCTTTGATTATTTATTTAGATTTTGATTCAGAATTACTGTAATTTAAAACTAGATGGCTTATTCTACTCAAAGTAAATGGGAATGAAGAATACTCACTTTGTTCTAATTACAGATATATAATTACATAAGTAGTTTATCATTAATTATATAAATTAACAAATAAAGTTTATTTGATTACTAATATACATATTTAGTTTGGTAGAGTTGTAGTCATTATCTGAAGAACTAGAGGAATAGGAATCCAAAAATGATGTATCATCTAAGTATTAAACTCCAGTGAATCTAAGGAAATTACTAAACTTCCAATAATAAATACTAGGCAAACAAACTTAAACATCAACCAAAATTAAAAATTTAATTAGACTTTATTGCATAATCAAATTCGGATTGAGAAATCAATTGTGAAAATAGAAGTAAACCAATATTTATAATAAAGATATTTTAATTATTGATTGATAATAGAAATTATTAATAAATCAAAGAGATTTTAGTAATTAAATGTGAATATTCATAGATATTTTTAGAATATTATAAATAACTTGGGGATCGAATAACAATTACATAAAAGTATAATTTATATTCATCTTGAGTATATTTAAATTTGATAAATTATTAAAATAATACTATTTTATCTTTGACTTCCTTCATATTATTAGTGTTTTATACCACCTGCATCAGCAAGAGCAGATAGTATAACAATTAACTGATTTAATTTATCCCCCAAAAGATATAAATAGCTTCATTTACATAAATATCAAATTTAAGGAGAATAATGTATTGCTAATTTGCGAATATAATTTAATCAATTATAATATGAGTTATCCTAACATTTAAGAGTTTTTGGAAGATTTTGAGAAGGAAAATGAATTATTAGGAAAAGGAACGTATGGTGAAGTGTACAAAATGAAAACGAAAAGGATCATCAATCCTGAATTAGAGAGGGTATTGGAAGGATAAGAAGGGTTTAATGGGTAGTAATATGCAGTTAAAATGATGGATGCTAAGACGGAGAAATCATTTTCAACCATATAGAAAGAATTTCTGATACTTAAGAGTTTACCAAAATAGCATCCAAACATCATTAGACTTTACAAGGTAATAATTAGATCAGATTAATAGAGTTATGCGTGGGCCAATTAGATCACAAAAACTTATACATTAGTTTTGGTAATGGAGTTAGCCGACAAAAGTTTAATGAAGGAGATTGAAGATAGGATATAAGCTAAGAAATATTTCACTGATGATTAATTGCATAATTTCTTCTTGCAATGCATTTAAACATTGAATGACATTAAACTGCACTCCAATATTTATCATAGGTAATTGATTCATCAAAAATAGAGATATAAAGCCTGAAAACATTCTTTTAAATAAGGAATAACAACTGCTAATATCTGACTTTGGGGTTTCTCGAAAACTCATGAAGGAGAAGTTACCAACAATTAATGGCACTTTGGTTGGAACTCCTGCTTATTTATCACCCATCTTATGGAAGGCATTTGAAGAGGGCTAATTTTAGGTTTCGAAAATTAATAAAATAACTCACAATGTAGAAAAATCTGATGTTTATTCGTTGGGTGTTACTTTGCTATAGACAACCCTGTTGTTGAATACTGAGATTCAAAAACTAAATTCTGTAAATTTACATAATTGATTTAGGGAGAACAAGGAGAGCAAACAACAAGAGAATTATTGAGGAATGTCTAAAATCAAAGAATTAAGTTCATCCTAATGAGAATGTTGGATCACGATGAAAAATAAAGGGCATCTTACAATGAATTGCTTTAATTATTAAATGAAAACATCCCTAAGCAAATTGTTTAGAATAAGAAACCCATCTTTTCATATGTAGAACCAAAATTGGGAATCAAGGAACAATTTAGCTTATAAGCCAAAATAACATTCGAAAATAATTGTAAATAGGATTTGCATTAAAATCAATAAAGTCCATAGCAAATAGACACTTAGACAGATTTTGACACTGTTGGTTAGGGTTAAACCAATCAATAGATGGAAATTGAAGGCAAAACGAAAGATTAATGAAATTTAATGCATATCTATTTAAATAAAAATTTGTATAACTAAGCTAATAGGTTGAGTTAGTTCATGTAACTTTGAGGTTTAACTCCAAGATTCTAAAGAAATTTAATTGATTTTTATCGATCCTGAAAATAAATACTACCAATGCAGTTATATACAATATTAATCAATGAGTTTTATTGAATAAATAAGCAAATTATGATGTCATACTTAATAGCGGCATTGACTATTCTGATGACAATGGCTGTGGATCCAAAGGAGGATAAAGCTATTTTCCCAGGCTGGGGAGATTATAACTTCAACACTTATTCTGGATATATTCCAATTGGCACAGGATAAAGGTATATGTTTAATAACATTTTAGATAATTACATTATGTGTTTTTGGAAAGTTAGGGTGATCCTTCAACTGATCCTGTTGTGCTATGGTTAAATGGAGGTCCAGGATGTTCATCATTACTTGGATTAAATGAAGAAATTGGTCCATTTGTAATGGCTGATGAGGATAGAGAGTTTAAGAAGAATCCGTATTCATGGAATACTGTAGCAAATCTACTCTTTTTAGAGTCACCAGCAGGAGTGGGATTTTCTGTTAACAAAGATACATTCTATGTCTACAATGACACCAATACAGGAGAAGATAATTATTAAGCAATTTTGAGTTGGTTTTCAGCTTTTAAATAATTTTAAGGAAGAGCATTCTATATTGCAGGAGAATCATATGCAGGTACTTACTTATCTGATTATGCATAGGAATGTACATACCATACACCTCTAAAGCAATCTTGGAAGGCAATAAAGTCAGTTCCTTAAGGATATCCTTGAGAGGAATTATGATTGGAAATGGATTATTGGTATCTGACCCAAAGAAACGTTTCTATGCATTACAAGAGTACTTCTTGAGGAGAAATTTCATGCCTCCAACAACAACGAACACTATCAGAAAGATTTGCTAAGTGGCTCCTGAATCTATTAAGTGCTTATTGGCTCAAAGTCATTTTGAAGAGGTTTGTTTAGGATCAAATATTAATATTTATAATGTTTATGGGTATTGCAAGGAAGATAGTACTCCTGATTTTCTTAAATCTAAGCATCAAACTCAGAAGAAGGTCAAGTACCCTTATGTTCCTTGGTTCGAAGGAAATCGAGTCGAAAACAAAGGCAAGGACAATGGTGCTCCTTGTACTGATTTTGGACCAATCACTGAGTATTACAATAGACAGGATGTACAAAAGGCTTTACATATCCAAGATTAGCCAGTACTTTGGAATGCTTGCAATCTTCAAATCAATGAAAATTATCACATCAGCGAAGCAGGCAGTTACTAGATATTAGCACAACTAAGAGACGAATATGGACAATAAATATTAATATATTCTGGTGATTTAGATGCTATAGTAAGTGTAGTGGACACTGAGTAAGCCATCCTTATGGTTCCAGGAATTAGAGAAACTACTCCTTGGAGACCTTGGGGAAACAAAGATTTAGATCTAGCAGGCTGGGTTACATATTATGATAAGTTGACCTTTGCTGTTGTTAGAGGTGCAGGACATGTATATATATATTTCATATATTTAGATGGTACCACAAGATCAAAGATAAAATGGTTTTGAATTGTTCCAGAGCTTCATTTATAATTTAATTTTGCCTGAGCATATTGAGAAATAATAAATATATTGATAGATTTATATATTATTCTATCACTTTTTTGGTTTGATTTGGGACTAAGACTTTTGATTTATTTCAGGCTCTTAGCTCTATTCCTTTTTAACAAGTTGACTTTTAGACTTATTTTTTAACACTTGTTATTGTTCTTCTTCTTTTTGTTGTTCTTGTTATAATATATTACAATTTTACAGTATTGTTATTCATCCATCCAAACTTGTGTATTTCTGCCTGGAGATGAATATGAGTCACCATCTTTAGATTAACTTTTTGTGCCTTATTCAGATCTAAATTATATGTTGTCTTACAAAGCATAGCGTTTTTATTAAGGATTCAAAATATTCCCGACTTAGGTAACGTCTTCTGCCAACATCACTTAACCTTCAAATATCTCTTCACCTTCATTTTTATCTTACTTGTCCATAAATTGTTGAATAATAATAATAATGGTTTTTTGATAGAATTAGATGTGCTATATTTAGTTAATTTTAAAAATTAGTAAGGCTTATTAATGGTTAAATCATTAATAATTCATTCTATTCTTGACCTAAACATGCTAATATCTTTAAAATCATTGGAATGTAGTTTTAAAATTAAAGATTTAATAATAATGTTAGCCCTAATATCTTTTACTGGAAATCAAATAAATAATTTCTGCACTTTAAAATTATGATATAAGTCAATACCATCAATTCAAATATCAATAAAATAATAGTATTAAGTGAAAATCATTGTTCTTCTATAATTTGGGTGCATCAAAATGTAAGATATTTTAATTTAATAATTTACTATAATTCAAACTAAATGCGATTCTTCATTATTTGAAATAGGATATTTTTCTTGTTTTTCTTATTTCAAATTGATTCTCTTGATTTATAAAGGGAAATTAAGTATTTTTGTCAATTCCTATTGAATTTCAATTACATTTTAATGAATAGATCAATAAGGAAAACATAGTAATTCATTCAGTATATCAAAAAGCAACAGCATAATAGCACAACAAAGTGAAAAGATGCAAATAAGCGCACTTGTGATTAAAGAATATGTGATGGTTCCTTTAAAATCATAAATCATAGGTGAAAAGTAAGAGTTTAATGCAGCTGCTATTTCTGGCAATGTTACTTTACGACCACTTGCCTTTTAAATCGATATATAGATATACTGTTGATAATTAATGCACTTTAAACCAAGCCGTAATGATTACATTTTATGAGATAATCAAATTTTCACTTGCTATAGTTAAACAATAATGGAATTATTACTTGACTCCTAAAAAAACTCTCCCAATTAGCATCATCAAAAACTTTTGTACAATCCACCGATTGCTAAGAAATGGTAACTAATGATACAAATATTATGATGCTTATTAGACATCCTATATCTACAATTATATAATACTAATTCTATCTATTAGATAACCTCCAATTAATGTAAGTAAGATATTTAAAAGGCTGAAAAAAGAGTAGAGGTAATTAAATTCTGTTAATGAAATGTGTACCTCTTCAATTATTTAAGATTATAATATTTATAGATTATCAAAAGAATAATTGTTTCAGAAAAGTAAAAGAGCTGATAAGATTAAGACAATGTATCTTGTTGTTTTTATCTTCTATTTATCCAACTTTTAATTCTACTCTCCCATATATAAATTTATTAGAAGAAGATTATATAAAAATTACAAATTCTTTGAGATCAATCGTTATTTATAATTAATGAAAATGATCATCTCGCCACATACAATAAAAAAATAAATTTACTCTAGAAAATACAATGGTATTATCATATAATTCAAATTATCAGAAGTTAAATTTTTAAATTTTATACAAAGATTGATTATTAATATTAATAAGTGTTAGCTAAACTAGTATCTTGAAGATAATAATTATAATATTATCAATCAAATAAACAAATGATTTCAAATTAATCAAACTGATTTTCTTTAAAATTTTCTTAATTTAATGGCCATAGTCTTTACATAATAAAAGAAGGTATATTTGTTTAAATCTTCAATTTCTCTTTTTCTTCTCTTGGATTATTTTTTGGGGGCTTTATCCATTTAGATAATGATTGCTGAGATGTTATTTTAAGGCATGTAATCCTTATAGTTTCTCATTTGATCAAGTTGGAGACAAGTTTGATGAAATGAAGCCAAAAATAGTTCAGATTAAAATTTATTCAATGATTAAGATTGGAATGAATTATTTAGTAAATAGTTATGTGATTTAAACTCTTGTTGTATTATTGTCATTTTTTATTTTGGCAATTATGCTACAATAGAAGGTCTGACTTATGTTTAATGCCTTTTCTGTTGTAGTGAATTAGCTGATACAAAATTTGTAGGTGGAACATAATCTTATTCAGCTATGACGATTTTAGATTTTGGTTCTTCAGATGTGTTTTTATCTCTTTCTTCAAAAGTGTTTCTTTAGAGATAACCAGATTAATAATCTGAAATTTAAACTTTAGATTCATTTTCGTCTTAGAATGCTTTTATTGAAAGTTCTATGGTCTTACAAAGTCTTCTACAATTAGTTTTATGCAATGACCTTTTGTGGAACATCCTGAGATTTTGTCTCTCATTAAAAGTTGCAACTTTAATTCTTTATTCCAAATTTGGCTTATATTAAATTAAGGGGCAATCTATAATTTCGTGAGTAAATAGTCTGCAATTTTAACAACTGGAGATGCATTTGGAGTAATCAGAATTGAGCAGTATCTAATCTTTAATATTGTGAAATCTCTGAAAATCTTTTTAATAATATTGAATGATTTATAAGAACTTTTCTCTCTGTATTTTGTATAGCACTGTATCACTCATACATTTAGCAGAATATTTAGGATTAAGTCCAGTAAAGAAGGAGTATTCCCCAAATTTCTCACCTCTATTTAATGTTGTTAAGATTTTGTTAGATTACTCTTCGAATAAGGCTATCTATCCTGATTGTACAAAATATCTATTTAATGATATAATATATATACAAACTAGAATCAGTACTTCCATTCTATTAGAATACAATATCGTTAGAAACTAGATATTAAGTTTCCAAATATCTGGAGATATCAGTCACTGCTTGTGTTGAAAATAGATCTTTCAGAAAAGTAATCTGATTGAGAATTCTTAATTGAATCGATTTTGTAATTTGGTTTCTCAAATCTTCTGGTAGTTTTTCCATAATTTTGTTGATTTCCTCCTGACTCTCCTAATTTTAATTCTGAAATAGATGATGCTTTATAAAGTTTCTTGCTCTCAACTATAATTCCACTTCAACTTTATTCTTATCCATAAAACCATTAATTCTCAATAGCATTTTTTTATATTCATACTTTGTATCTTGGATATTCTTTAAAATAATTCCAATGGAATTGAGTGAATATGCATAGACACAACTAGATAAAAACATCATGATTATTGTGAATACTATTTCTATCCAATTTTAGGGTGTTAAATCACCATATCCAACTGTTACAATGGTTGTTGTAGCCCAATATATTGAATAGTTATATTTCATCATGATGCTCTCGTTCTCAATCTCATACTTCTGCAACCATGATTTTTCTAACAACATATCACTCTTTTCTCCAACATAATACCACACACAGGCTGTGATGTGAGCAAAAAAGAATATTGTTATGACCAGGGAAAATAGGTCAATCAAATTTGACAGTTATCCTTTGGAATAGAGTGATTCTAAAAACTTATCAAAATTTGTTATCACTTTTTTGATTGTCACAATTATTTATATTATTTAGAGTACTTCAAAAATGAGACTAAATTCAGGTTTATTGAATATAATAATCCAAATTATAAGACTTATAATATCTTAAACTCCTTGTCCTTATAGATAATGCTTAACGATTTGGCTTCTGGTGGTTATGATTTCTCCAAATGATATTGTCGATCTATTTAAATTGACCAAAATTTCTAGAAATAAATACAGTATAATTGTGATAATCAATACGATTGGAGATTGATAATTGAAGGCCGCTTAGAAAGGGCTCAACCACAATGAAATCATGTTTATTATAATTCCAATCAAATCCCAATACATTAGCAATTAACTCCCAGGTTGAAATATTTTAATAAATTAATGATTATCTCCCTAATCTATAGATATTAGAATGAAATAGTACTCAATGTTTATCTCCAATCGGATGACCTTTTAGATATGTACTCATCTTAGAATTACAACTACAATTTTTGAGGGAGGATGTATGAATTTCTGAAAAGATTTTAGATAAACCTATTAACAATAGCTTTGCTTTTGATTTGTTTTAAAAAGTTTGTAACTTGTCCTGAGTCACTATTTTATTTTTTAATATTGTCCATCCTATTTGAAACCAGCTTTTTCTATCTTTAGATAAGCATAATACTGCAAATGAACTATAAATAGATTAAGCCCTTGATTATCTTTCGTCACATTCCTGTTTCAATTACTTAATTGAGTCTGCTTGTTCTTTGGATTCTGAATAAATCGAACAATCTGAATTTTATTTTCTATAATGTATATATGAAGGATTTCTCGTGAATGTAGGTCCAATACTTGATCTTCTAGAACTAAGGTTTCGTTCGCTTTAAATTAACATAATATTTATTAGATTAATTGATTTTTGTTTTTTTTAAAAAACTCTATACTGGATTAATTTGATATTTGTTTTTAATATCCGAAAGAATTCAAGAAGTTATTAGGAATAAATTTGATTTCTTAATTAAATAAATAAAGAGATTTTTTTGAAATACTAATTATGAATATTTATGAGAAGTGATTTTGAAAAACCAGATAAAAATTCAGATACATTATTTTAGATTATTTAATTCTAAAATATAAAACATAAAGAATTTAAATTCCAATTCAAACTAACTCCAAGGAGTGGAACTGACCGAGCAATCTTCAATTTAACATTTGAGTTAAACGTAATTTAAAGAGTTACTTGTACTGGATAAATAAATAATATATCAAAATGGGGAAATATGATCTGTAGATGTGAACTGTACTTAGAATTATTAAATTAGTCTCACATGTTCATCATTTCCAAATCTGACCCTAACTTTAGAATTTAAAATAATTGCACAAGTTAGATAGACCTAAAAGATTATTATAAATTTGAACGTCTGAAATTCGATTACTTATATTAAAAACTAGATATCTATTTTTTTTAAGAGACCAATCACATGATCTAGTCATCCAATAATATTCCAAAATAAATGAAAAATTAGTTAAACTTAATATAGTCTTTATTTTCATTTGATAAAAATTACTTTAAAAAACTTTATTCAATAGACCAATTGTCAATCTAACTTCTAAATAATCATTCAATATAAAGATTATTAACAACACTTTTCAACCGTAGAAATGTTTCCACAAAATTTGTATCCTTTAATTAAATACTATGTAAGTCCGACAATAATGTGTCATCTGTACATCAGAAATAAGTTAATTAGGAACAAAATCCAATAGCTCCTATTCTAACTTAACAATGATGATGTCCTTATTTACTTTTCGAATAGTAATCAATTAAAATCAATTTCAAGTCTAGTTATAATAATTTATTATATCTTGAGATATTATAAGATAATCATGAATTATGATTTTAACTCTTATAAATTATAATTAAGATTTGTACTTAAATCTTTAAAAAAACGATTTAGTTATACCCAAATTTGTAATGTAGATTAGGAATTCTGAGATGTGAATAAATTATTATTGATGCTCTAAAAAATATATGCAATTAAATTCGTTATTAAAAGTTACATTTGATGTCAATTATTCTTTTATGAATATCCATTTAATCTAATTTTGTTTAGCAATAAAAAATGATTTACAATTAAAATAGTAACTAAAATTCAACTGAATAAATTAAACTATTGTAATTATTCTACTATTCAATTAATAAAACTTATTTGCAAATATTATGGACAACTAAATGCCAATTATTAGAAAACGGAGCAACATAAGTGATAAGGGATAAGAAAAGAACAGTAACACTCCTCCTATGATAAATTGTGATAAATTGATAACTAATTTATAGAAGATTACATTGATGGATATATTAGATCAATTCGCAAAGGACTCAGAGAGCAAGAGTCTAATAGAGATTTTAAGATCAATCTTTGAGATTTCAGAAAAGCCTCAAAGGGTTTAACAGAAATCTTAGGCTGATTTGTGGAGTATCAATAATTACAAAGATAACTAAAAATTCGAGTTTAATGATGAATAAAATAAATTTAATAGGAAAAATTGTTCTGACAATTAGAATACTAAGTAGAAGGATTACAGAAATAGAGACAACGATAAAAACTACCACAATGAGAAGTTTGATAGATATGATCGATAAGATAAATACGATAGGAATGAGCGAAGACCAAAACAAGATAATAATGAGAGAAATGATAGGCATGATCAATATACTAAGAATGACAAATATCAGAAATATGACAGGAAGGACAATTACGATAGGCGGGATAATTAGGATAAGCATTTTAATGACAATAAGGGAAGGAGGGATTATCATGGGAATGACAACTAGAACTAAACACAGGAGATCAGAAGTGATTGGGTTGTAAAGATACCAGACAGTGTTGCATTTGGTTAATAATAATGGGGAGCAGAGAATTTTAATTAGAATTAGTTGTAGTTGTCTGTGGCGACTCCTAAATGAATAAATAATTAATTTAATTATAAAATGTTATACGGACTTTAATGCAGAAAGCATCCAAGTATTTAAGTATCTTTTGTGTGCACTAAAGTGAATTGCAATTATGGCAATCTTCTGTGTTAGTAATGTAAATGATTTTATTGAAACCATAGGCATAAATGGAAATTTATAACATAAAAATGAGCATAAGAATTATTTGAATCAGCTTAATGAATTTGTCTATCAGTAGAATGGGAAGACAAAAACTGTGTTGATTCCCAGCATTAATAGTACACTTTAAGAATTAGATAAAAGATTGAAGGAATATAATGCATTGATAGACAGAGAGGCATAGGAAATTGATACGGATATACAACAGTTGTTGAAGATTTTTTATGAGAGTTCAGAGAAAGCAAAGAAACAGATTCAGGAGATAATCAGAAGAGATTTATGTGAGTAGCAAGCAAAAAATCTAAATTTTAAATAGCAATTACAAGAAATACAATCTAATGAGTAAAAAAGGAACGACAATACCAATTATTTATTCAATACAATATTCTTTAGAGACCAAGATAAGGAATTACCCGTGTCTGAATAATCTTTAATGTAGATTATCAACAAGTATAAAATACTGTAATATGAAGAAATGGAAATCTGAACTAACTACGATGTGACATTCTCAATTGCTTAAATAATGTAATTGGTACATTATAACCTACGAGTAATAGAATTCGCTACAAGAGTACCTAGAATCAAATGTAATTATTCAATCTACTTAAAAATGACTTCATTCAAAGTTTGAATTGTCTATTCCAGAAACTAACGGATCTCACCCAAGAGTTCCACACAGTTGAAGACATGAAGCGTAGTTTGTATTAGTTCGGGTCTTTAGATGGTTCTTAATCGCTCAAATAATCATAAGTGGTATAAAGGACTTTGGGATCTTCTCAGTTCATAAGCACAGGACACTAAAGCCAGAGATTCCATCGCTCAAATAGTTAATCTTAGATTATGAGTGTGAAGACCCTAGAATCCTTCCCGCCCTTGTCTCATATGATTTAATCAATTTTGAATAAGATAGGCCATTTATAGCCTCCTTAGGCAGATTCTTTGTTGAATAATATCGAAACAGTGCCTCCTTGTTAATTCCCCGATGGGATTATCTATGAAGGTCAGATTTAGAATAATTAGAGGTTTGGTTGGGGGAGAGCCATCATTGGACAAGACTATTTCGAAGGATATTGGAGAGGTGGATTGCCTTTTGGATTTGGAAGAATAATTTTGGCATCTGGAGATTATTATGAAGGGTTCTCTTAAAATGGTAAGGCAAATGGTAGAGGATAGTTTGTGTCTGGGATTTATTCCTATGAGGGAGATTGGGAGGAGGATCAAAAACATGGGAAAGGGTAAGAGATAGTGTAAGGAAAGTATGAATACAAAGGGGACTTTAAGAATAACATGAAGTGTGGGTAGGGGACATTGGTTGATTTGGTGACAGGGAATGTGTACCAAGGGGAATTTTTGAATGATTAGTTGTAAGGATAGGCTACGATTGAATATAAGAATGGGGACAAATACTTAGGATATGTCTTAACGGTGGATGGGCAGATAAAAAGAAATGGGTAAGGAATCTATTACTGGGTGGATTCGAGGAAGTATGAGGGACAATATGAAAACGACAAAGAGCATGGAGATGGAGTATTCATATGGTATTTGTCATTCTAATAGTGAAAATAGGCCAGACTAATGGATGTATAAAGGGTAGTGGTACTTTGGAATGCAACATGGAAAGGGAATCCAATGCAATCCTTAAGGGAAGGAGAGAGAGGGGATTTGGGAGAAAGGATAGTTTAATAAGTGGATTAGTTGAAAAGTGTGATGTCTATTTAATATAAAATATTCAGTTTATATTGATAATCTTAATATTTCATTTCTTGCCATATGAAGTTTAGTTAGCCATTTCCAATACTTGTTATTTGAAGATGTGGATCACTTCATCGATGATGGCGTTCTCCTCTATTGTCATAGTTAAATAAATACCATTTCTTCTATTTAATTCGGTATCATAGAGTTCTCTCAACTCATATAAACTAGCTGTGGCAGCATTGATGGCATTTTGTGAATCCTTTAATACTGAATTGGCTTTGGCCTAAACAGCAAGGGCAGCTTATTCTTACTAAAAGAGATTAGATTCTATATGATTACCACAACTAATTTGTCTTGGAGTTGAGTCTTTCTTTAGATTTCATCTTATAAGTGAACCTTCTCAGCTTCAGAGTCAGCCAACCAATCAGCTAATTGATAATATCCAGCGATTTCATTTTGTTCTAAAGCAGCCAAAGCAGATTTCAATTGATCTTCCAAATCACTCAAGGCATTATAGACTAATTGACCAACATTGACTCCTGGTTGTCTGTCTCCTCCAGTTGTGCCTTCGCTCTCTCCCAAAGCGTGTAATTCAGCATTTCCTGAGGCTTGTTCTGAAGCCAATTAAGCGAATTTGCTCATGGCATCTTGATTAAATAATTGACTGTATTGTTTCAATTTGTCAGCAACATTCTCGACTTTCAATTCAACCATTGATGATGGAGCTCCTGTTAAGTATCCGCTAAGCATTTCCTCATATAGTATACCTCAAATCATTCTTTAATATTCTGATGACTCCCAAAGCATCGTTGTGTTATTTAATTGCTCTTACAAACAAACCATTTGAGAAACATCTGAGTTCTTCTAATTCAACTTCTCTTCTGTCGATATCAGCTAATCTTTATGTAGCCCAAGCAATGTAGTCTGTTGCTTCCTGAAGTGTTATATGATTTCAATTACTCTATATTCAACTCCGATTTACTCTCTTCTTGCCTTTGCACTTGCCCAAGCCTTTTGATTCAATTCATTCACTTTTGATAAAGCTGCAATTCTGGATTATCCAATTTCCTCGTCTGATATGTTTTTCTCATCTGCTAATCCTTATGCTTCTATATTGCTTGTCTTCAAATCATTCAATAAATCATAGACTGCTTGAATAGCATCATTTGATTGTGATCCTGTCTTTGAAATTGATTGCAATTTATTATTACCTACAACAACAGTGCAAAATCAATATCCCACGCTTGAACACTCACTAAAGCAATCAAAGCTACGGTTATGAACTTATTCATCTCAATAAAATTAATAATATATTTCCACAAAAACGGGTAATCACTTAATTAAAAATTAATATCAATCAATACAAACACAGCAAAAATACCAAACAACCCTTCCAATAATCTCTACTTCTCAATCTGTGTTGAATATATATTCATTATATTCATTACTCTTACGATTCACCTATTATTTATCTGGATTCTAAAGAACAATTGCGTTTCTTGTAAAAGTATAGTCCTCCTTTACTTTTTGAAATACACCAGTAATCTGAATATTAAATCATCCACTCTGGTCACTAGAAGTCGTTAATTTTATTAATTTATAATATTCCAGATATATTCTAATTAATTATTCTAAATTAATCACTCCCATGCTAAGATTGGATTCTCAATTTTAGTCTAAAAAATATAATATATATTTTATTAATCGGACTCTTCTATAATACCTCCATTAGCTTGTATTTATTTGATTTTTTTTTTCAAAATTAAAATTTATATGTAACGATAATCATTTCAAAATAGGAAAGATGTTAATATAGATTATCTATTTTGATCATAAAAATGATCTGATATTGTTTTACAAAATAAAATCATCATTTCCTTTGCAAATACTCTATTCGCTATCACTTCCTATTTCTTCCAAATTAGCATTAACTTTTTCGTTCGGGGTTCCATATGCCGTATTTGTATTATTATTATTGTTGTTTTCACTCAAATATATTAGTACTGAATCATTTTCAACTGCTTCTATTATGGCTGTTCCCGGTAGCTCATATGTTAAATCATTTATAACTAATTTAAATTTCTTTTCTCGCAAATTTTCAATAAACTTAGCACATTCAAAGGCATTAAAATCAAGTTCACCATCAGATTCCTATTTTTCATAGATTACTTCTTAACAGAATTTTGATTTATCCTTATTTTACTTTATTTTCTTCTTATTCAATACATCTTCGTCTTGATTAGAGGGTTAAGGAGCTTTTTTGAATTATTTCTTGATCATTTTCCATTCTTCAGATATTAACTGTGTCAATTAATTATGATTAAGTTCTGGTCTTTCTAATTTAATTTCCTTTAATCTTGAATTATAATAGGATTTCCAATCATCATTTTTATTGACTTTGGATTCTTTATTCGCCTAGATTAGTTTGTCCTGATTGGTTTCCTTGTTTCCCATCTACTCAAAAATATCTTCTGCACTTGACTCATTAAATATTTATTCTTAATGAATAGGCTATTCCACTTTAACTAACTGTATAAAATATCATTCAATATATACTTTCAATGAGGGTATTTGCTTAAATTTCTTGTCTTTAAATAATTCGAATTGATTGCAAAATATTTGCTTCTTTTTTGAATTTTACATTTTTTAATTTATAAATAATTCATAATGGCGGTAACGCTCTTAAATTCATTTCAAGGGCATCAAAACAAAAACTTATTAATCACCAAGGACATTTATCTGATATTCTCAACGTCTATGATGATAGAACACCAAATATTAATCTAAATTTGAAATGTATAAAATAATAATAATTTCCATAAAAATTATAGCAATTCAATTAGGTTTCTAAAATTAAACCTTATGAGAGTATTCTCTGTCATCTATTTCATCATCCACATCCTTTACATTATTGGTTTTGTATGGGTGTTTGAGTTTATCCTTGATCTCCTCATACTACTCATCCTCTTCCGCTGGCTTTGGAATAACACCTACATCATATATTTAAATGCAAACCTTGCCCAATCAGTAGGTCTTCAATCGAAGCGAAAGTAATTTTTCTTAATTTGTGGATAAAGGGAATATTGGAAACTGCCTTAGTGTCTTTGTAAATAATGAAACAGGGACATTGATCATCTGGAAAATTTTCAATACATTTAGTTGCTACCATCTTAACAAACTTAATCTCCTAATACTATTTGGCTAGCTCCTACAAGACTTCATTGAGTTTCAAAGATTCCACAATATAATCTTGATAAAGAGATAGAACAACAAATCGATCTTTTGATGCTTCAGTCACCTGTTTAACATATTCATCCCGAGAAATCTCGTACACTTCACCGTATAGCTTCTTCTAAGACTATTCCATCATTTATTACAGTCTACATTGAATACACCCATACCTTTAAGCTTTATATTATTTTGTGAATTCATCATCTTCAAAGAAATCATCATCGCTATCTTGTTTATCGTCTAATTTCTAAATGGCTTATTAATAGGTTTCTGCAAGAGTTGTCACTTTCTCTCTTTCCAAATAATTTCCATGTTTCACATGAATGTCCTCCCACTACGTAGTTACACCATTAGCCATTGATTATTTATTTTTATTATTACATATACTACAAACTACATTCTCTTTATACTCATACATAAGAAGGATTAAACTTAAAATATATAACTGTGTTAGTAATGATCAATATATAATTAATATCCATATTCAATAGAATGAATTGCGATTTCCATTGTAATAATCCCATTTCTCTTTATCTTGTTAAATGTTTCCAATTGTATTTGGAATTTAATTTAACTAGGCTTACTGGTTACCATTTTTCTATTATACAGGAAAACCCATGGAATATCCATCTGCATTTTCTTATCCTGCTTGTTAAATATTTATATCTTACCGGATTCTTCTTTAGTTTTTTAATTATCCACTGTGTCAAACATATCATTGTACATTGTATCGATACTATTAAGGGCATCATCTAACTCCTTGTTGCTCCCTGGTTCAAAAGAGAATGGAGCAGGTTTCTTTGGTGGAACAGTAGGCTTATTTTTTGGTTATTATGCATATTATTGCTATGGAACTTATTATCCAAGGTATTATTATTAAGCGTAAATTTATGGATATTAGACATAGCTTTATTATGAGTATTAATTTTGAGAGTAGGCATTACCATAATTGTTAGGGATTTACATATTATTAAATAAGAATAATAATAAAACTATATATACTACAGATGCAGACTTAATAAAAATATAAATCTCCAAAATATGATTAATCTTTGGAGATTTATATTTATCAAATATTTTTGGTTAATTTTATAACTTTGCTATATGTTATATGGTTTCATTATAAAAAAGGTGAGCTTCCAAAAGTAAGAGGATAGTTCTCAATAAAAAAAAATTTAATAAAAAAGCTTAACAAATGTACTTCACAGTTTTCCTGAACATTATTAATATATTTTTTCGCTTGACTTTCAAATTTATGAAGTATTTATATTGAGAAGATTAAATTTCTTAATTTAATAATAAAACTTATATTTTGATTTTGATTAGTTCTATGAATCCATGTGAATTCTAAAATATACATTAATTTACAGGTTACAATATTTAATTCTTGTATTTCAGTATCAAAAAAGAAAGTATTCTAACTGTATTTTTTTTGACTTTATTTATATTTTAAAAAAGGAAGGAGTATTAATTTTGATACTATTTGATTTAATTATCATCCATAGTTTTTCCATATTATAGTAATCACATATGCTATAATTTCTTGAATTTTAAGCTTATCTGTAATAAAAGACTGTCATGGCGTTGCTAGACTAAATAATTAAGTTTTAATCAGATTTATTTTCAGAATTTAAGCATTTTATTTCTATGTCAAGAATCTTATAAAGTTAAGATGAATAATTATTAGGATATGCAAATTTATCAGAAAATAAGCTCAATAATCTATTTTTATAAAACTTATATTTAAACTTAATTGCTATATAGGATCAATTATACTCTATATCTTAAAGAAGAATTTGAAAATTACTATTGAATCATCATTTAGTTAACTAGATTAAATAAGAATAAGTATAAATTTTAACAACAGTATAAAGTTCTAAGACACCCTCTTCAGTTATAGTCTTAAAATAATGTTCGATAATTTGCTGAAATATTAACAACTAATTTAAATTTTATAATCCATTAGAAACTATATATTTAGCTACAAATTTAAGTTTTAGATTTAATCTGCTTGATTAGAACTATCCACTTAAAAATAAATAATTATCAAGAAAACTAGTGAGAGTGTAGCACTTATTATTTTCAAAGGAGGTGCAGACTCCATATCCTATGTTATAAGTAAGAATTGATTTCAATTTAAGAAATTGGCAGGAAATTACCTTAGAAAGAGAAGAAATCGCCGTAATTAAAATACATCCTACTTAAAGTATCAAATTTTATGATATTCTCTGAAAAATTAAATAGAATCTGATTGATTTAATAATAAAGGATGCATTCAGAGACCATCATGTATTTTTCTTCTTCTTCTTTTAGGTTTAGCGCCTCCACATGGACAATTATCATCTCCAATTCCATCCTACCATCTACATGTGGAACCATCTTCGCAAGAGCATTCACCGTTTAGATTATCTGTGCATTATAAATGCATGTATGTGCATTTGAAATCTTAGGCCAATTGCATGCAATCTAGTTTAAAGATAATTAATACTTGCATTCACTTAAGTTATTTAAAGCAGAAGGAGGAGTGCTCCAATGAATATAAATTTCTTCATAATTATAATAATTAATTGATTTTTTGAGTTATTAATTTAAATTCAATCATAAATTTATGCTCTCGTGTTGCATAATACAATTATTGTAGTATTAATAAATTTATGAGGAGAATTAAGAATTGAAAAAGATGTTAATATAAATTTTCACAAGAATACTTAAATATCATCTTATATTTATTCAAATTTGGAAAGATATTTTACATTGTCTACAAAAATGGTAGAATCAGATTCAGTAATGATCGGATCTATTTTAATTACTTTAATCAGAGCTTTAATGTCATAAGAAGGGATAAGAGTATTCTTACATTAAATGTAAGTTAATATGTAATGCAAAGGAAAATGAGTATCTTCGAATTGATCCATTTCTGATCTGGGGAATAATAATCTCCTTTCTACATCCTTGATGTACAGATCTTCTAGGTTGTATTCGCCAAGTAAATTCTTGACTTGAATAATAAAAGTACTATTAATAAATGGCTTAAGGATTTATTATCTAAATAATTCAGCTTTAATATCCTTTATTCTTGAATGCAATGGCAATGCCACATACTCTCCGACTAAATAGGGGAAAAGCCCATTCTTAATTGCCACAATGAACTATTCGCTTTCAAATCTCTGTGTTTGTAAGAATTTATTATAGGCAACACTTCTCAATAATCTAAGCATTAGATCCTTGGCTAAACTTGAATAAAATCCATTGTCAAAAAGCTTAGTAATAAACGGAATCGGTTTTTAGATTAAATATCGATACTCCTCGAATTAATTTAGAGCTCTTTCAATAAAGAGATAGTTGTAGTTAGCCTTCATTAACACTTGAGCAATGGCATACTTAATATAAAATATTTCTAGATAAGTGAATTGAAGAGTTGTAAAAAATTAAATCATCTATTCAAAATTAATGATGCTTTCATAATAAACCCCCTTTAGTAGTTCTTACAATACAACTTTTAATTAATTAAGATTAGTGTTTTGAAAAAACATTTTCATTATGTCTTAAGACAGGAGATAATCAAAAACATCATTATTTAATTATTCAACTTAAAACCTATCAATTCTCACTACATTGTTTCCCCGATCTCTTTCCCATCTATTGGTAAATGCGATTTCTTCAGGTAAAACTTTTTTTGATGTATTTTTCCTAGAGGCGTACTTACTCATCTCATTCTATGATTATTATAGTGAGGGTAGATGAGTACGATTGTCTTGACATGATTCCAAGGAATTTCTATTATTCTAAGTTAAGTCCTTGATTGTGATATTTCTTGACTGATATTCTACTTTCTTGGGTTTATAGAGTCCATTAAAGAATCCTTGCTGTTGGGAACCATCCAAATTGGATTGAGATTTGCGATGTTGAGTTTTACCAACATAATTCAAATTAGGAGTGACTATCGATGATTGGATGTTATTGGTGATTGTATCTATAGATTCTTGTTTAAATTAAGAATACTATTCTTTTAGCAAAGAAGACTATCTTTGAGAAAGTTTGTTTGTCTCTTAATAGTAATCAGATTATAAGGAAGGTAGCAGAGGATTCAAATAAATTTTTCTGACTGCTATGCTTAATTTATCTTCTGATCTTTATTTGAGTTTAGCTCTCTCATTCAAGTAACGTTAATACTTTTCAACTACTTACTTATATTGTTAATTAGTGGTTTCATTATTACTAAATTATAACATATAAAAATTATCATAATTTGCATTTTCTTAATTGTTTATTTGTGATTTGATTTAGTTTAACTATTTCCCCATTGATTTTTATATTGACTTGAATAAACACACCATTCAAAATACTTTCAACATTTTATACTAAAATTACCCATTATTCACATGCTTAACTTTAGATTTGATTTAAATAAATTGTTTGATATCAATTTTCATTGAATCATCCAATCATAGATGGCAACCTCAAACTGTCTGTGATTCTTATCAATAAAATAATAGATTTTCTACACAAAATTAAGATTTTTATAAGTGTTGAAGAGAATATATTATTTTATTTATTTAAATGAATTTAATTTATAAATTAATAATGAAGCTTACTAATCTTTTACTAATTTTCAATAATTAATCATATATTTAAGATCTCTTTTCAACATAATTTAAATTCAATCAAAATTAATCTATGTTGAGAAAAAATAAATTTATTAAAATTAACCAAATAAAACCATTAAATAGTATGCATGGTCAAAAAAATATACGATATAATTGTATATACTTTTCAATAAAATGGCTTTAAAAATTTAACTTATATAATTAAAATTCAGAAATTTCATATAAACAAACTCTCTCATTAAAATTAAGGGATTGCTTAAATAAGGTCAACATTTTAAGATAATCTGCAGATAAAAGAGAAAAGAAATTATCAACTCTTGATACTCTTATTCTTATCTGTTAATAAGATAGAAAAATAATTATTTCCTAATGAAAATTATTTGTTTGTTCAATTTGAACAAATGATCTAAAATTAGTGAAAGAATTTAGAAGCTAGAATTTACTTTCATTAAATTTCCAAAGATCTAATAAGTAATATTAGATAAAGTTGCACTTTTTTATGTTGAATATAACATATAATATTTCTAAACTCCTATATCTTAGAAACTTAGGCGATCATATAATCATAAAATGACTCATGACTTAGAAACACCTATGCAAAAATGATTGTTTACTAACTAGTGTATTTCAAAAAGAATTAAATAGAAGAAGATGTCTATAAGGAAACTTAATGAAAAAATTTGGATTATATATTGATAAATAAAATTCTACATCAAATTGATTGATAGAAATGGATGATTTAAAAATCTTAGAATTCCTATTTTCAATCTACAAATCAGATCATATTGATTCCTGACATTTATCTAAAGAGAAATATTGATACTTATTCACTTTTAGAGTGGATTATCTCTTTTATTAACATATGATAATATATTTACTCTGAATCTATCAGAAAATATTATTACTGAAAGATAGGGCTGCTTTGGTGAAAATTACTTCAAGCAAACATCAATAAAAATTGACTTTAAATAGATTATTAGAGACAGATTCTTTCTAATAATCCAACAGTTTTAGGAATTTGAGTAAAGAATTTATAAATTAAATGTATTATTATTATACAATATGCAATTTGACCAAGACTTTGGCCCTTGGTGCAATGATTAGATAACACCAAGATCGCGATAGAATTACTCTCATAAGACTTCATCAAATAAAAATATAAGCGAAATCAATACCGTTTAAAAGAATTTTCATAACATCAACTCTACAAAGAGATCTCAATTTCCAAAACTTAAATTAAACAATATTTCTCCTCAAGTGTAGACAAGAAGATCATCTAACAACGTTTCAGTGAAGAAAAAGGAAGAATAAGCTGAACAATAGACTTTACCTAAATTACAAAATAAAGCTCTATTATAGTTAAAAATACTAAGACATAGACATACAGAAATAAATGTGGTTTCATAAATTGAAAATATTATAAGGAGAAATTTATTTTATATTCCAACACGCAAATATTCAATGATAGATTGAAATAATTATTTAATAAATAGAAATCTGAAACTATAACTATATTGTGATATAATCAAAGAGGTTTTACATAAATTCAAAATATTATTATAATTTAAATCTTTTGAAAATAAAATAAAATAATGTCATTATAGATTTTAATTTGAAGAAATATTATCAATATCAAATATCATCTATAAGTAGTAATAATAATTATTGCATATTAATTATTTGAATCAATCTTCCTTTTCACTCCAAATCCTTAATTAGAATTCTTATCTAATAAAATTGAGAGAAAAGTTACGTTAATTATCGGTAAGAACAACTCTGGAGTTTGTTCCATCTTAAGAATTCGAAAAGCTATTTTCAATAATTTATTGTATATAAATATATATAATAATATTTCAAATTCACTTTTGGTATTTGATATAAAATTACTTACTTTTAGAATTAAATTAAAGAAGAGATATTGAAATTTAAGTTTAGATACGACAATATTGCAATCAACTGAAAATCTTATTAAATTTTATGAGCTATAAATTTATAATAATATTTATAATATTAGATCAGAATAATAGTTCCTCGGTTAGGAATAATCTTATCTTTTTTTGATTCATTCGTAAGTTCTTTTATTAAAATAAAAAACTTTTAAAATTAATACGCTCATAATAAATACACATATTAATTTATTTAACTGAATGAACGAATAAGGCAGGTATAGTAAATTGAGTGAGGAGGAAGCAGCTGCTTAATTTGAGTTGAGGTAATGATTGTGATTTACTCAAGAAAATAATAAATAATGGGCAATTTGTTGGAATAATATGAGAGTAGCCAAAAAAATAAAAAGACATCCAAAATATCAAAACCACAAGAAATAAATCAATAGGAATTCATCGTGTTCAATCCTAAGAAACCATCGTTGAAGAACCCTAAGCCGAAATCAAAGCAATTGAAATTTGTTAAAGAAGAATCTCCAAAATAGAATTCTACTCCTTATCCAGAAGCAGATGAAGAAAAGATTGAATAAAGTGTTGTGCCTACTCCAATTGCATAAACTCCCTCTATCGTTAAAATAGATAGTGGAAACTTAAAAAAAATATTGTTGAAAGATATTGGAAATATAGATTTGGAAATACAAAGATTAACAAGAGAAACGAAGGATTTTGAAATGGATAAATTAGCAAATAAATCATAGTTTTCATATTAAACTTAAAGCACAAAAGAAGCTGCTTCTAGGAACAATCCTCGACAGACTTCTTCTTAGCTATAATAACAATCTAAAGTATACTATGAATTAAGACAAAGACCATCAAGTAAAGAATCCCGCATTTCTGAATCATCATATACAAGAAAAGCAGAATGTTTCAAGGGAGTTCTAAGAAGTTCTAGCTTAAAAAAGCTACCTTAATAATAATAACAATAATAATAATAATAACAATAATAATAACAATAACAAGAATTAAAAAAAAATTAAAATTCATCTCAATAAAAAAATCCAAATGAAAAATAAACTGTGAACAAAACAGTAACAATAGAGTCAGAAAATAAAGAACCAACAAATAAGATTTCATAAAGTGAACGCAAAGTACCTAGACCAATGATCTAAATCAATAGAAGTTAATCAAAATAAGATTCACCTTATGTTGATAAAAAAACAACTCCTGTAAAGTCCATGTTGAAAGTGTAATTTAATTCAATTCCAATCGGATCCAATTCCACTAAAAATAACAGTGCATCTTATGTATGATTCAATCAATTATATTAGTTTCATCACCACAAAGAATCTTACAATAGTTAAACTAGTTTTCAAAAAAATAAATGCGTTGAAGCATAAATAGAAGAAGCCTTTTAATTATACAATAACCTAAAGTTCTTAATGTAGAGTAAATCTAGTGTTTTATAGGTCAGAAAAGATGGAAATTAAATGCCTAGAAAAACCGTTGATTTTTTTGTAATAATTTATCATTTATTCATAGTAACATAAAGAAATAGCTAAACCAACTTTATTCTGATAAAACAATTTTGATCATATAAGTTTAGTATAATTTATTTCTAATTAACTATCAAAAGGAATAACAAATTTTTGTTATACTTTTTTTATTAGAACATTCAAAAGGAATAATTCAAATTTTTAGAGCCTTCATGGCTTCTTACAATTGTGTTTCCTTTTCTTTACCTTTTGTAATTAAGTGTTGTCTCACTTTCTCATATTCATCGATGTCTTTTTCGTGAGATTTAATGATTTCGACAACTTCATTTGCAATATCCTATTTTGGTTTGAGAATGAAACTATCAATTATATGAAACCTATTACCATTTACCAATAGGTTAATATGTCTTCTATTAATCAATGCTACCTAGTTCTTTTAATGTAATTTGACATTTCTGAATGTTTCGCTTTAGCTGAGTCATTGAAGCCTCATATTGTCTGACTTTAGCTAAAGTGTTCATAACTTCCTTCTCCAACTCCATATACTGATGATACTATTACTCTTTCTCCTTACTAATTTGCTACATATTAAAATTTAATTTAATTTAATCATTATTGTGATGGCCTTTTAGCTGTTCCAGGAATAATTGCAGATGAACGCCTTGCTTATTTCACTGATTGGGGATTCAAACTTATTTGGCTCGATCTCATATCCTAGATATCCATATTAGTATTTCTCTTGGTAAATTTATGATTGCCCGAATCCCTTTGTTTCTCTTCCATGATCGGCATCATATTGATGGCCTTATTGTTCATTAATACACTACCTCTCTTACCTTTGTTTTTAAGGGGATCCTCTTAGATCAATCTTTTTGGAGGACTACTTTTGGGTCTCTAGAAGTCTTTAAATAAAGGCACTCCATCTTCTCCATACTCTACCTCTAAGATCTTGTTTTCCAAAATTTCTTTACAAGATGGTCTATCATTAGGACTTGGAGATAACATCTTCTACAACAACATAGTAAGAGAATGACTTGAATTCAACTCCTATTCAACACCCATCCAATCGATTTTCATTTCCATATTTGCTTATTTATTGGCAAAAAGGGGTTTGCCAATCAATAAATAATACAAAATGCAACCCAATGAAAATATATCACATTTTTCATTGTATGTTTTGGTTGGATCTGTCTCAGTTTCAAATACTTCAGGAGCCATGTAACCAGGTGTCCCCGTGTATTAATAGACATTGAGTTTTTCTTATACGACACTAGAAACACCGAAGTCACTGACCATTATGTTAGGCCCCATATGAATCAATCCATATCTTTTTAAGGGAACAAAATCTCTGAAGAGAATATTATCTGGTTTCAAATCTCTATGCATTATGTTCTTCTCATGTAATCCAATGAGTCCCTCTACTATCTAACGGAATATCACTTTTGCTGATAAGAAAGGCACTGGCCCATTTAGTACTTTGAGAGCATATTCAAGCGAGCCTCCTCTTGCTAAATCAATTATGAGATAGATCTATGCTTTATTCTCGTAAACTTCATGCAAGTTTATTAGGTTTGGATGATTGAGTTACCTCATGATTCTAATCTCATTTTCGACTTGTTCCTAAAGGAAATATTTTTTAAAATACTTTTCCTTTTGGATCTTAAAATAGTGTTTTCTTGTAAAATGCCTTGGCAGCATACATTTGACTATCGAATTTGGATTTTGCTTCGTAAACTGAGGCAAAAGTTCCTTTACCGATTAATTTAGAAATATCATAGTTCACTTAATAGTCGAGCATGTTTAACTTGTTCCTCAAATTGTCGAACCAATACATGGTTTAGAAGTTAAAGTTGTAAAATTCATTAGCATCTGTGTCATCTCTCTCCAAAGTAAATTTGTATATTTAAGTATGGAATTCATCACCTTTCATCTATTTTTGAGTTTGCTTATTAGCTTATTCGGCCTTTACGCTGAATCTCAAAGACGAAAGTGAAACCTTGTAAATCTTCTATTTCTACAAACTAAGCAATTGAGAAATTACATTTATTTTGTATATGTGCTCATCGCTACATAAAAGCAGCAGAACTGATTTGTGATTGGTGTTCTTGAAGAATTCAGTCTTGAAAATTATGTGTTCCTTTGCTGGTTCTGATTGACATTTTACGAACAATTTGTTGACAGATTGCATATTAAAAAAATTAACCCATATACAAAAATTGATATGTCAATTATATTTATAATAAACTTATATGAGTGATTATATAATGATGAATTTTAATGAGTACGATAATTTAACATGAACTCAACTTTCGCACTACTGATATAGAATTTATTTTTGGTTGCACTTTCAACTTATATGAATTTAAAGATATTATATAAATTGAATTTTCAATTACTTTATTCTTTCCCTATATATTAATATTCAATTTATTTTTAGTTAATTTTTCAGAATTATTTATTAAATTACAAACTAATATTTAAATAAATCAATCAATAATTATTGGATCCTTTGTTTGCTTAGTAACTTCAGTAATTTCAGCATTATTGTCCTTTCTTTTTTCTTTATCTACTGGAATAACATCCTATTGTAATGCTTTTTCTGTGTTTACTAATTGTTTTTTGGCTCTAATAAATTGAGTAATTTTAAAATTTTTGTTAGTTTCTGGTTGCTCAAATTTATATCCTTTGCGAACTCTAAAACAATAAATAATATTTTATTTACTGCTTTTATTTTTAGAAAATATTCTGATTTGTATCTTGAAACATGGTTTGGTTTATGATTTAATGATCTTATTCGGACAATTCAATCCCTAATTCTTGATTGATCTCCCTCTATTTTCTGCTGTCCATCATAATTGATCTATACTCTTAGGATAATCGTTTTTCATCAGTGTAATTCTTTAGGAAAAACTCAAATCCCTAATAAGGTTGGATTATGTCTTACTCTCTATTTAATATGATGAAGAGTCACCATATATTATGAAAATTAAGTGATATTATAAATTTTGCTGCTTTTTCCTGTGTTGTTCTTGACTACCTTCTGCAATAGAGCAGGTTGAATGCTCTTAACAAATTGATGCATTTCATTGAAATTAGAGTGTAGTGAATAGGGAATGACATATCTTCTATTGTCTGGCATTTGATAACTCGTTGTATTAGCCCATCCAGTTGCAGTAATAGCAATAGTGTTTTTATCTTTGAGTCTCTCTTCCACCTCTCCTTTTCTAATGACTTCAATCCAGCCTTAAGTTTTATCAAGAGTGAAATATTCAACATAGAAATTCATAGCTGTCACAATCTCGTATCGCTATTCATTCACTACGATGACTGTGTCATAATGTTTAGCCAGTTCAACCATCAATTCCTCCTTCCCTACTGAATCAACACACAAGAAAACTCTATTATTAGGGTTTTTGTCAATGATCTCACATAGCATTTTAAAGGCTTCATCTCTATTTGGGAACTTAAAGATTGGATCACAGTAGGTGTTATCCAGAATTAGTTCATCAATATCAATGGAACACTTTCCATTTTCATTTGAAATATTTTGAGGAGGGTAAAGTTGCGGGTTCTTTGGGATCATCTCCATATTAAATCTCATATCTCCAGTGTGTAAAATGGTTCCGAAGTAACCCTAAAAAAGAATCATCACAGCTCCAGGACAATGGTTGGCGTCTAAAAAGGTTACTTTTACTTTATATTTTTTGCAGAGTTCTATTTCAGTTGGTGTTTTCATCGGGATAGTCATCTAAAGTTAATAAGATATTAGTAATACCACGCCTTTGACTCCAGGGAACTTAACTAATAGAAGAGCTTTGGTGACTGTGGAACAAAATATTTATCCGTAATCCCAGCCATTGCTTATTCCTTAGTAATGATCAGAGTGCATGTGGGTTAAGAAATAGATGTATCGTTTAAGGGGATTTCGTCTTGCATATCCAAAATCATCAACAATAATGTTGGTGTATGAAATTAATACCATTTATATTTATAAAAAAATGGACGAACTAAATAATAGACAAACTCCAAAATTACGATTTCGACAATAATAAGTGTAATAGAAAGCCATAGAAGTAAATAGCATTGAAATATTTAGAGTGATCCAAAACAAACACAAATTGCTAGATTGCCATCAGGTTCAAAAAATGCAATTGCTCTACCTCGTTTGGATAGTAGAGCTGCCACTTAATCCTTGGTCATGAAAGATGTGGACAAAGAGATGAATTAATTGGAACTGAGTAGTAAAGTCAGGGATTTAGAGATTTTGATGATAGATTTCAAAGCTAATATTGAAAGAAGGATATAGAAGACTATCGAGGATAATCCATAAAAGTATATGCAATCGATAAAGCAACTGGAATCATAGGAAATGCATTTGTGGAAACAAGTGAATGACAAACAGGCCATACTTCAAGATGCAATAAGTCAGTTACGAAATTAAGGAGAGAAGAATAGAGACAATCTCTCTTAGATGATCCTTGATTTATAAAAGAAGTGCAATGATCAGGAACTCAAATTGGGTGCCTTAATCAATCAATAGGAAGGCATTGAATTGAAATTAAATGTTTCCAAACCCACTTCTATATAACCAGTACCTGACAATCTTGAGGTTAAATTATTGAGAGAAGCATTCAACAACGAGAAAACACACAGAGATGTGATAGTAGAAGACTTGTAAAAGTAATGGCAAGATTTCCACTACAGATTGGTTAAACAGGAATCAGATTTTTACAATAAATTGAAATAACAAAGAGAGGAGTTCTTAGAATAAAATGAGAAAACTAAGGTCAGCATCAAGGCCTTAGATAATATGAAATTGGCCAAAATCAATTAGGATTAGGATTACATCAAGAATCTGATTGGAAGTGTAGAGGCCAGAATTGCTGATGAAGTTGAAAGGCGTTTAAAGAGTGAATTCGATCAAAGGAATCAATTGGAAAATAAAATATAAGCATTCAAAGAGGAAATAAGAAATGATGAAAAATAAATCCTATTGGGAGAACAAAAATTTATGAAATAGATGCATGACAGTGTTTCATCATTAAATTAAATTATTAAGAATACAAAGGAATAATTAGAAGCTAATTTGGCTGCATCCCAAACCATTGTTACTGAAAACATCAAGTCTATCTCTAAAACAGTTGATATGATTAGAGAATCATCATTGGCTAAGGTGGCTTTGATTGAACAAGGCTAAAAAGAATTAAATTTCAGAGTTGGTGAAACTAGGTAAATGATGCATGAACATGCTAACTTAATTAATAATAGTCTTCAGAAAGAATTTTAGAGGTAACAAGACTAGTTATAGGGTTATGAATCTTAGATGCAAAAGAGTATTGAAATTTAAAATAAGTTATTGAATGATGAAAGAACATTGAATGAAGATTGGAAAAAGCAGTTTGCACAGAAAAACTTAGTTATTTTTACTGAAGTTAGTACAAATCTTAAGAACATCAAAGGAGACTAAATTAAAGATAAGAATGAACTCCAAGAGGGTCTCAAAAAGATTACTAATGATGTTGAAAATAATGATAAAAAATAACTTTAATTGATGAAAAATCTAGATCAAAAGGTAAATTAAGGATTAAATTCTTAAGAATTCAAATTGGATTAGTTAAGAATAGAGCTTTCTGAAATCATTAAAAATATACAATTACAATACAATATCTAAATGCATGAATAGATACAATTTGCCATTGAGACTGCTAAAAAGGATGCTACTCAGTAAGTTTTAGAGTCTTCATAACAAATCAATGATAGAATCACTAGAGAAATAGAAATGGCTGATTAATAAACAAATGCAAAATTAGACAGTTTGTCAATTTAAATGAAGGATCTAATTAGAAACAGAGAAGAATATATTTTACAAAGACTATAATCTATGATTGATGAAGAGAAGGAACTTAGACAGAGACTGTAAGAATTGATTGAGAAATATGGAGATATGGTTAGAAAATTGAAGGAAGATCTGGATTATGAAATGTAGCAGTTGAGAAGGGATTAGGACGAGAAATTGAATGAGGCCATCTAAAAGATTGAAAGAGATTATTCAGAAAAGGTCAAAGATATTGAGAGGTAACTTAAATAAGAAATTCTGAATTCAGAAAATAGAATGTAAACAAAGTTGGATGTGTTAAGCTTAGAATTTTCTAAGACTATGGAATAGATGAAACTTTATATTAAAAAAATAGAGAATACTCTAAAATCATATGTTCAATAAGAATTAGAATAAACTAAACATGACTTAAAAATGATGATTAAAGGCATTGAAGATGATGTATTTAAGTTAAGAATTTGGACAATTCAATAAATGGAAAAAATGGATTCAGCCATGAAGGAGATCCATATATAAATATAAACTGAAATGTATCTGGAAAGAATGTACACAATGACCACACTTGAAAACTTCTAAGAACATCTTATCAATGTAATGAATAAAGAAAAGTAAGACAGGTTGTAGTGGCAATTCTCAATGGAGAATTAACTCAATCAATTGGATATGTCATTAAATAATAAAATTGATTCTGTTTAGAATAATTTACAATAGTAATTGGATGATGTTAATGCTGAGTTTAAATAGGCTGTTCAAAAATTGAATGAATAAATAAATGAATAGCTTGGCAAATTAGAAGAAGATTTCAATTAAAAATTAAATGATGTGCATGAGCAAGTAAAATAAGCAGCAAAGGATTTAGAGGATAAAATCAACTAGTAGATGGACAAGATGAACGAAGAGATTAATTAATAATTGACTCAATTTAAAAATGATGTGGAGAATTAGTTTTAAGAATTAACTGAAAAAATTAAACAAGATCTATAAGATTTATTTGATGAAATTAATTAGAAAGTTAATAACTTAAGAGTAGACACACAAAATGGGTTGACTCAAGTTGTTAAATTATAGACAACATTAGGAAATCAATTGAAATCATAAATTGATGAGAGTTTTGCGTATTTCTAGTCAAAGTTTTATCTGATGGAATAAATTCGTTAGGCTAATGAAGAACTAGATAAGGAGAGACACACAGGCATTATAGGAAAGTTATAATTGTTAGTTAAGGAAATGGAGAGATTGGAGCAGAAGAAGAACTAAATAAAAAAAGATTTGAATGATTTCGTTAAGGGAGTTTAGAATAACTTTAATAATATTACTGATGCCATCAAGGCTCATGGGCAATTCTTAAATGAATTAGATTCCAAATTAACAATTGAATTACTGTTGTAATAGACCATCAACGAAGCTTAAGAATATAAATTATAAGCCTAATTAATTGAAATGAATAAAAATTCAGAAGGCAAAATTTAAGAATTAGAAGAGAAATTAACGAATTTCGATACCACCATTCACAATTAACTTGAACAAATTCAAGTTGATTAGGAGGAAACAAATAATAGAATTGAAACAGAATAAAAAAATCATTAAGAGTAGATAAAAATGCAAGAAGAACAATTAAAAATTTAAGAGGATCAATTAAAAACTCAAGATGAATAACTAAAACTTAGCTTTGTTTAATTACAATAGATTGTAGGTAATATATAGTTAATGAAAACTATGAATGGGGCCATGGAAATAAATCTATCTGATTATGTGAAGACTTAAATTTAGCAAACTTTGGAGTTAATTTTGAAAAATAATTAGACTAATTTAGATAACATGGTGAAATAAGAAAAAAATATCAAATTGTTGATTGAGGGTAAAATTGGATAATAAAATCAAAATTTGAAATAGATAACTGATTATGTTGATAAAATAGTTTAGGATACTACTTAGATGTAAGTGGATGTAAACACTGAATTTGAAAAAGTTAATGATAAAATTTAATTACTATAGAAGGAATAAGGTTAAGGTTAAAGTTAATCCAAAGATTTGGATTAGAATATGGTGGCTTATGGAATAGCTTTAGACACTGTTAAAAAAGATTTAGAAGGCGAAATTAAAAGACTGTAGACATAGATTGATAATTTAGGATAAAATGTTGCATTTTAAAAAACAGGAAATTAAGATAAGAACTAGCCATAGTCTGACAATAAAATGAAGGAAATGGAAATTAGAATCAATGATATTGAATAGGATTTCTAGAAATAGGGAACAGATATAGAATCACTTAAAAACCAAGTTAAAACTCTATAATCCAATAAATAGATTTAATCTCCAGTATCATAGACTCCAAATAATAAAAGTTAAAATAACCAACAACAAATGGACATGTTTGCTAAAGAAATTGATAGAATTGATTAAGAGATTAATAAGCTCAAGAATCAAATCTCTAAATTAGGTTCTGGAGTAGCTGGTGGAGCTGCAGTCAATAATTCAGATGCTACAAAAGAAATCTAAGAGTTAAAAAGTTATGTAGAAGATTTTGAAAAAGGAGTTACTACAGAAATATAAAACTTTAGAACTGAAGTAGAAAGCATGAAGAAAAATAAAAGTGGTAGTGCTGCTACTGGAATTACAGCAGAGGAATTTGGTCAATTTTAAAGTTAATTAGATGAAGAATTTAATAAATATGATGGATAGATTTAACAATTAAATGAAGAGATCTAGGTTGTTAAGAATTAATCAACAGTAATAATATATTGAATTATTAAATAGGGAGGTGCTGGAAAAGCTGGAGATAATAAATTAATTGAAGGAAGACTTAAACTTATGGAATAAAAACTTTTGGATCTTGAAGGAGAAATAACTTAAATGCAGGATGTTATTGATGAACACGACGGTAAACTTAATGATATTGCAAAATGAAATTACATATAATTAATTAATTTATTTATTGCGTGTATTGGAGTTGGTTGTATTTCATTGAAATTAAAAAAAGTTTCTTTTTAAAACATTAAAATAATGGCTTAAGAAATTAAGGAATTTCTTAATAGGAAGGATTACTATGAAATATTGGGAGTGTCAAAATCAGCCACTGATGAAGAGCTCAAGAAGGCTTATAGAAAATTAGCTTTGAAATTCCACCCTGATAAAAACTAAAATGAAGGAGCTCAAGAAGCATTCAAACGTGTTGCTTAAGCATATAATTGTCTTTCAAATCCTGATAAAAAGAGAGTTTATGATCAATATGGAACAGAAAAACCAGAAAATTAACGCTACCAGCACCACTAAGATTAAAATGGATATTATTATGAGTAATCTTATGGTGATGACTTTGCTAATGTACAAATACAATAATAAAGATTAGGAAATCTTTAGAGCTTTTTTTGGTCCACAAAGAGGCCATCCTTAAAATAGACAGCATCAAAATGGTTAAGTCAATATGTAATTTCTGCAATTTCTTCCTATATTAATGTTGATACTTTTATCATCATAAGGGTTTTTGTCGTTATTTTAAAAAGCTCCCATTTATTCTTTCTAAAGGTCGTATGAATACCCAACTTCCTAAACCACTAAAACACTATAAGTAGGATTTATTTATTATAATAAAGGTCAAATATTTTGTTGCATCAAATTTCAAGGAAGAAGTCTCAACAAAGGAAAAACTAAGAGAAATTGAATTGGAAATTGAATAGTAATATGTAAATTAGTTAAAGCGAGATTGCAATAATGTTGAATACAAAAGATCAATGTATGAAAGCTATGCAAACAGAGCTTTTTATCAAAAAGATCGTGATTCATATCGAAATGCTATCAGAAGATTAGACTTCTCTTCATGTGATTAATTAGATGATCATCGAAGAACTATTCCTAGATTTGATCAATTATATTGATTTTTAATTAATATATCAAAATTTTAGAAGTAAATTCTAAATTATCAATCTAAAAACATATATAATAACACATTCCTGAATGTAGTTTGTTAAAATTTTATTTAAGAAATTCATTTCATCCCATTTTTATTGTAAGATATAAATCTTTATTTTATTCATTAAAAACTATTATAAATATACTCTTAAAGATAATTTGGAAATTCAATTCTTGTTGTTATGAATATTGGTCTTATTTATACATGTTGTTGATCAAAATAAAAGAGGATAATTCGAATTACATTAATTATATTGAATTAAATATAATATTATATATTAATAAGACCGATAAAAATGGATTATAAGCAATAGTATGATGAAATGTGCCAAAAATATTAGTAAATGGAAGAGGAATACAATCAGTTTATAGAAGAAAGCCAAATTTTGGAAGATCAATAATAAAAAACAATTGAGACTTTAAATAAACAACTTGCATAGACATAAAATTAGTTATTGCAATAAAAAGAAGAAACATAAAGAGCGAGAGTAATAAATATTATCAATTATTAAGAGTGAATTATAATAAACTCAAAACCAATTGGAGAAGCAATTAAATAAAAAGGAAACTCAGATTGCAGAATTTTAAAAAAATGTGCAAAGCCTTAAATTATAAATCATAGACTTAGAAGTTGATTAAGATCTCAATAACAATAAGATTAGGTACTTATGTTTATTAAAAGAAGGTAGCTCGAAGAAACCAATAAGGACTTAGAAATTAAATTAGATAAAGTCTTAGAGTAATTAGCAATGGCATAAACTGATTAAGAGGCTAACAAGATTTAGTCTTCGGAAGAAATCGAGCGTCTGAAGCAAACATTAAAAGGTTGAATAACAATTAATTTTAGAAAATCAAGACGAGTTATTTGCTGCAAAGAATCAAAGAGTTTGTGTTACAACAACGATTCCAGAAGTTGTGAAAATGCCAAAGATTGATTCTTTAAGAGCAAATGCAGCTGGATTTAACAAAAGTCTGACTTTAATATAGGCTTTGATTAAAGATCTTGATGACAAAATGACATTAATTAGATAACCTAAGGCATGAGTAATTATGCATTTTTTTCTTATTTTATAGATAAAGTTAATTCAAAGTTATTATTAAACAATTTCCAATTCAATAAAACTATCCTTTCCTATAAAAATGAATTTTTCAAATAAGACATCATTTTTAAAGATTAGTAAATTTTTTACTTATATAAATTATAAATATGAAATATAATCTACAATAGAAATTATGTTTGGCTGTGATTATTAGTTCCTTATTAAGATTAATCTTAAAATTTAAAGAAGTAATTTATTGAAAGTTCCAAATACTTTACGATAGATTTATCTAATCATAAGAGCAGAAATGCTAATTATGGAATTATATAAATTTTGAATAGCAAAGATTATAAAATTAAGAATTGATTGATATATCTTTCTTAATTGGTTTGAATAAAATCAATAAATTAAATTGGTTCTTAATAATTATAAAGTAAATTATTGAGTTTAATCATATTCAGATTAGTATCAATATAATAAAATAATTGTTATATATGAAATTAAGTTATATTATGGCCAGATCATCTTCAATTTCCCTAAAACGAAGATGAACTTTGAGTTATTTTTTTTATTTTTAAAAGTTCAGCAATAATTTAAAATAAAATAGCCACTTATTTAATTTCATACAACTTTTATAAGAATTTTAATCATGAATTTATAGGAACTAAGTAGAATAATTATTTTAAATTTATGAGTAAATTACAATCAGCAGAACCTGTTCAAAAAGAAAAAAAGAGAATAATTTTTGGATCCAGA